TCCGGTCTCTTTTTAAAAGCCTTCAGTGATGGGGCACCCACAACCTCTTGCCTCCTGAAGTTGTGAGTGTTCCCTCACTGGAGCTTTTCAAGAAGAAACTGGACAACCCTGTGTCTGAAATAGTATACAGTAACTTCTCCTGCCTGGGCAGGGGGCTGGACTAGAAGACCTTCAAGGTCCCTTCCCACCTTGTTCTTCTGTGTTCTGGGACTCTTCTCCCAGCATTCAGGCCAAGTCGAAGGAAAAGATTTCCAAAGCTTGAAATGTTGTTTTCTTGGCGAGGGCGAAGCACGGCAGCGAAGCTCAATGAACCATTTCCAGAAACTCCAGACCAAGCTGGCTGTAATTTCTCCCCTCTGCTATAATTTAAAACCCTTTAGGATTCCCCCAGGAGCAAAGCTGCACAGCATGTACAGAGAGAGTTTGAATTTTAATTTAACCGGATTTGGGCTTGGGGGGGGGGGGAGAACGGGGAAGCAGCAATTGCCAGAATCTGAATGCGGCAGAGATTTTTACCTAGCAAGCAGGGGGTGTAACGGTTAGTCTAAGGTGAGAATAGAATAGAATAGAATAGAATAGAATAGAAAGAGTTAGAAGGGACCTTGGAGGTCATCTAGTCCAACCCCCTGCTCAGGCAGGAAACCCTGCACCATTTCAGACAAATGGTTGTCCCAGTCTCTTCTTAAAAACTTCCAGTGTTGGAGGATTCACAACTTCTGGAGGCAGGTTGTTCCACTGGTTAATTATTCTAACTGTCAGGAAATTTCTCCTTAATTCCAGGTTGTTTCTCTCCTTGATTAGTTTCCATCCGTTGCTTCTTGTCCTGCCTTCAGGCGCTTTGGAGAATAGCTTGACTCCCTCTTCTTTGGGGCGGCCCCTGAGATATTGGAACACTGCTATCATGTCACCCCTGGTCTTCATTAGACTAGACTAGACATACCCAATTAATAATAATAATAGTAAAGTTGGAAGGGATCTTGGAGGTCATCCAGTCCAACCCCCTGCTCAGGTAGGAAACCCTACAATATTTCGGATAAATGGCTGTCCAGTCTCTTCTTAAAAACTTCCAGTGTTGGAGCATTCACCGCTTCTGGAGGCAGGTTGTTCCACTGGTTAATTGTTCTAACTGTCAGGAAGTTTCTCCTTAGTTCTAAGTTGCTTCTCTCCTTGATGAATTTCCATCTGTTGCTTCTTGTCCTGCCTTCAGGCACTTTGGAAAATAGCTTGACTCCCTCTTCTTTGGGGCAGCCCCTGAGATATTAGAACACTGCTATCATGTCACCCCTCGTCCTTCTCTTCGTTAAACTAGACATACCCAATTCCAGCAACCGTTCCTTATATTTCATTTTCTGTTCATTTCACGCTGTCACCCCTGGAAGGAAAGATGGGGGTAACGAAGGAACGAGCAATTTGCAGCTTCCGGAGGGTGTCGAACTACAAATCCCAGCAGCCCCAGCCAGCCCAAGTGATGGTTAGGCTCACTAGGTACGGAGGCCTGCCTGAGGTCACAGCCTCAAGCAGGGGATCCGGAGAACATTGGGATAGGAGAGACAGTCCTCGCTTTACGACCACAACAGGGACTTCTGTTGAGATGGTTGTCACCAGAGCGAGGCCCGGTTTTTACGACCTATTTTGGCATGGTCATTAAGCGAATCGCTGGTGGTCATGAAGTGAATCTTTAGAGCACTCTTTAGAGCAGGGATGTCCAACTTTGGCCATTTTTAAGATGTGTGGACTTCAAATCCCAGAATTCCGCAGCCAGAATTCTGGGAATTGAAGTCCACAAGTCTTAAAGTTGCCCTGCTTGGCGGGCTGGGGAATTCTGGGAAATGAAGTCCACACATCTTAAAGTCGCCAAGGTAGGACTCCCCTGCTTTGGAAAACCACTACTCTAGTTCCCCACCCTTGGTTTAAACTCCCAGAATCCCCAGACCGCAGAGGAATTCTGGGTCTTTTGAGTTTGGAGACAGCCGGGGAGCGCCAGATTGCAGAAAGTCGGTCAACGTCTTGGCAGGCTGATGGTGCACTGCGGGTTCTGTGTGTGTTTGTGTCAACCCAAATGTGGGACTGTGATAGTGTGATGGCCGGGTGCATTTTTGTGTGTGTGTGTTTATTCGAAGCGGGCTCTTCTCTCGCTTTTCCCACACTGCCCTTTAACGCTCCAAAGGTTAAGCACGAGTCCCAGTTTGTGGTCTCTGTTGCCGATTCGCCATCAATTTCATAATTTCTGGCCTTTCTCCCCCCCCTCTTCTATTTAAAAAAAATAAAGGCAGCCTCCCGCCCCCACACATCCCCGGCAGTCCGTAGCTGCAAGGGAATCAATCTATTCTTGATTGAGGAAAAACAAAATCAGAGCCGGAAAGGGAGGAATTCGTACGGGGGAACATAAAGCCCAGGAATTGGGGCCAAAACTGTTGAGCTGGAGATAATTAAAAGGCACAAGGGGGGCGGGCGCTGGGGATAGGAACCCTGGAAAAGTAACTCATTCCTTAAGACAGAACAGTAGCCAGAATACCTACCGAAGCCAGAAAACCTGCTAATCGATAAATTGCAGTACTTGGTGGTAATTCTGCAAAAAAAAAAAAAACAACCCAAAAAGGCATTCAGCTTTGCATTTTCCAACTCATTTACCGGCTCAGGATAAGCGCTCTGAAACAACTTAATGCAAACTGTTTGTTCTTCTGTTAGCAAGAGGCTCAGTTGGGGCTCATTAAATTCTCCAAAACAGCCCCTTTCTCGCCCCTAGTCTTGGCTGTGTGGCAGCTTTCTCAGCAGCTGTTGTTGCAGAACAAGGCTCCTCTGGACTCTTTTTTAAAAATTTATTGAGGCCTTTCTTCCTTCGCATCCCGCTTTTCTTGTTTTCACAAATAACTCAAGGGGGCAAGGGATTCAGTAGACCTTCCTCCTCCTGTTTTGACCGTAACGACAGCCCTGTGAGGTGGCTTGGGCCCAGAGAAAGAGAGTGACTGATCTAAATTCATCTTTCGTACCTTAGGCGGGTCTAGAACCCATCGTCTCTTGGTGATTGGCCCAAAGTCACTCATCTGGACTATGTGCCTAAGGCGGGACTAGAACTCACCATCTCCTGGTGATCGGTCCAAAGTCACTCAGCTGGCTTTTGTGCCTAAGGCGGGACTAGAACTCACTGTCTCCTGGTGATTGGCCCAAAGTCACTCATCTGGATTATGTGCCTAAGGCGGGACTAGAACTCACTGTCTCCTGGTGATCGGTCCAAAGTCACTCAGCTGGCTTTTGTGCCTAAGGCGGGACTAGAACTCACCGTCTCCTGGTGATTGGCCCAAAGTCACCCAGTTGGTTTTCGTGCTTAAGGCGGGACTAGAACTCACCCTCTCCTGGTGATGATTGGCCCAAAGTCACTCATCTGGCTTTCATGCCTAATGTGATGAGACTCTGACGGTGTCCTTCTTTCTAGTCTGGTGCTGTAATTACCAGACCAAACTGGCTTTCAAGAAGCCATGATACCACCAGGGCATCTACGGCTAGGGTCATCCGGAAATATAAAATATAACGGGAAACCCTCCTCCACATTGCTTGCTGGGGGATTCTGGGAGTTCCAAGTCCACCCATCTTAAACTTGCGAGGTCGAGAAACACCGGTCTACCAATCTATCCGTTCCATGCACAACTGTCTGCAATTAGTCAGCCCCCAAGAGACTCTGCACAGGCTCAGAGGTTAGAGCTTCGCCCTCAATCGCAATTTAGAAAAATTGGGGCTCCTTCCCAAAGCTTATAATGTCACCCTTTAAACATGCTGCAATTTAAGCCCTGTTTTTAAAAAGGCCAATTCAACTGAAGAGCATCGCTATTGAATGAGATCCTGGTCTGTCTGCCTGCATTCAGGGAGGGTGGCTGGGTTATAAGCCATGATGCCTCGCTAAAGGAGAGCCCAGCCCTACAAGTTGGTTTGTCTGACCATCTCTATCACCACTACCACCACCACCACCGCTTCAGGCAACGAGGTTGACGCAATTCCCACCCCGGCTTGTCAGTTTTAATTGAACCATCATCCGTGCCAGTCAAATAAAAGGCAGGCGTGATTAAAGACTGCACCATCGGAACACACACACAAAAATCCCCAGCATCTTCCTTTGGCGAATTAGGCAGAAAAATCCATTTTGATCATCTCACAAAGGGTGATCTTGGCGCTGTGGCTGTCTCACACTTTTCGTGCAATTCGACTTTCAGCTAACGAGCCATCGTCCTCTGGATCAGAGATTCACTGCCGGGACTCATCAAGACCGTCAGCTTTGAAGCTGGTTCCAAACACACAATCGCACCTCTTCTGTGAAAATTCCGGTCGTGGGCTGGAATCCACCAGGGTGGATCCAAGTGGGTTTCCCGTTCTCGGCTCACCTGGGCTTCTCCAGAATTCCATTTTCAGTTCAAATCGGAGGTGCAGCTTACCGGTTCCTAGTAAATGATCCCAACGGAGCCCAACATTGCCCTTGATAAGCATGATTGTGGTTGAGCTTTGCCCCGTTCTACAACCTGTCTTGCCACTGCCATTGTTACGTTAATATCACGGGGGGGGGGGTAAGTGAACTTGGCTTCCCCCTTTGTCTTTGATGGTCAGACAGTCAAAAAAAAAAGGGATCTGCATGATCTCTGGGATGCTGCGACCATCATAAATATCAGTTACTGTTGGTCTGAATTTTGATCCTGTGACCATGGGGGAGGCTGCAGCGGTAAGTGTAAGAGCAAGGGGGGTTGGACTAGATGACCTCCAAGGTCCCTTCCAACATTATTATTATTATTTATTAAAGTCACTTTTTTTCAGTGCCGTTGTAACTTTGGTCACTAAATCAAATCAGAATAGAGCTGGAAGGGACCTCAGAGGTCATCTAGTCCAACCCCCTGCTCAGGCAGGAAACCCTATATACCATTTCAGACAAATGGCTGTCCGGTCTCTTCTTAAAAACCTCCAGTGATGGAGCACCCGCAACTTCTGGAGGCGAGTAGTTCCACTGATTAATTGTTCTCCCCGTTTCAGAAATTCCTCCTTAGTTCTAGGCTGGTTCTCTGAGTGTTTGTAAGTTGCGCACTACCCATAAACAATAAAATCTTCCCCAAGTTGCGTCCTTTGTAAAAAAAAAAAAAAGTCAGTGCTTCCACATACCCGTTTGAAGGACCAACATCCCACCCAGGACTAAAAGTAGAGACCCCTCTACTTTTAACCAGCATAGGAGGAGGGGGGGAATTCAGCAGCCCTTCCTCCCCAGAGCAATGGCACAGATAGTCCTCAACTTACGACCACCATTGAGCTGCCAACGTTGCTAAGTCAGAGATGTGTTCAGCGAGTTTGGCCCCCATTTTACGACCTTTGCTAATCCCTGCCGTTCTTAAAGGAGTAGCACCGTTGTTAACTGGACCCGGTTTTCCCCGGTCACAAAAGCGGGTCGCGTGGTCCCCGGGACGCTGCAACCGTCGTAAATATGAACCAGTTGTCAAGCATCCGAGTGTAAATCAGGGGGAGGCCACGACGGTCGTAAGTGTGGGAAAAAAATGGTCCCAGGTCCCTTTTTTTCAATGTTCTTGTAACTTCCAAGTGGTCACTAAGCGAACTGCTGCAAGACGAGGACTCTCTGCGTGTCTCGTCCAATCCCAGCCATTCCGCCTCCATTTGCAACTGGCGCATCCCCCAGACTCGATGCAAATCGGTATCTATAGCGGCTGTATTTATTTATTTATAGCAAAGAGCTTTTCCTCCTGCCTTCTGCTAATCAACTATTGTTTTCCAAGCTGCTTTGGAAGGGTCTTACTGTCTCCCACCTCCACCGGTGTGCTAGCTTAAAAGGGGCAGTTTTGTGTCTCTCTGTGTGTGTTTTTTCCACTAATGGTTTTTATCAGCAAAGCTGCCTTTTCCATGCCGGGGAAGAAGAGGAGCTGGGGGGGTGGAAAGGGGAATTAAACAGCCCCCCCTCCCCCCAGCAGCAATCCCTGTCCATGTGGAGGGTGCAAAAAGCAAGAGAGATATTTTTTTTCTGGGGCTTTCTTGGTTGCAAGGGTGTTGTTTCACACACACACACCAACACAAACACACTTATACACACTGCCACATCCCTCCTTTGACAGCCTCTTCAAGCAGCATTTCCTTAGTTGTGTTGTGGCTCCCGGCAGGGTTGAAGGATTCACAAGACCAACCGTGAGGGGATCTGATAGGCCGTGCAAGGGTGAAGCTGGGCAGGGGGAGATAAATCAAAGGGGGGGGTCTCTTTAATGGGAAGTGAATCACCCTCTCCTCCTGGGGAGACATGAGTGTATCGGTTGCAAAATAGGAGAGAGAGAGAGAGAGAGAGAGAGAGAGAGAGAGAATTCTTTCTTATGGAGATGCAAAATAAGAGAGAGAGAGAGAGAGAGAAAGAGAGAGAGAGAGAATTCTTTCTTATGAAAATTGGATCCCCTTCGCCTTTGCAGAAGCTGGGTTCCATCCGAAATGCCAAAACCAAAAATAGAAAAAGAAAAAACAGAGGGTCTGTGCAATTTATTTACTGCTACGTCTTGCAAAAAAGAGCATTTGCCTTTGGAAGGATTGCAAAACAAAAAAAACACAAACATCTGGCACAGCTTCGTTTGAGTCTGAGAAGACGGCCTTCCACAATCTAAAAGCTATAATTCCCAGGACACCCTACTGGCTGCGACTCCCAGAATTCCTGCTATATTAATTGGGTTTTTTTTTTATCCCGCCTTGATTACTTTCTAAGTAACTCAAGGCGCTGAATGCACCTAATACTCTTTCCTTCTCCTATTTTCCCCACAATGACAACTCTTTGTTGGACGGAGGGACTAGCCCGAAGTTTTCATGCCTAAAATGGGACTTGAACTCAGCATCTCCTGGCGATTGGCTCAAAATCAGCCATCCAGCTTTCATGGCCAAGGTGGGACTAGAACTCACCGTCTCCTGGTGATTGACTCAAAGTCACCCAGCTGACTTTCATGCATAAGCAGGACTGGAACTCACCATCTCCTGGTCTTTAGGCCAGCCCCTTAACCATTACATCAAACTGGCTCTCTTATATAAAGTGAAATGAGTCAGTTATAGCTGTACTGGCTAGGAATTCTGGGAGATGTAGTCCCGGGGGGCTTCCAGAGGATACCAGGTTGAGAAATAGGTGAACAACCGGTTCTTTGTGTGGATGCCGCTTCCAGAAATCCATTCTGGGCCTGGGCAACAAAAAATTAGCTACTGGTTCTGCCAAACTGGTGCAAACCAGCTGAATCCCACCACAGGAAGGAAGGAAGGAAGGAAGGAAGGAAGGAAGGAAGGAAGGAAGGAAGGAAGGAAGGAAGGAAGGAAGGAAGGTGTGGTGGGATTCAAATATGTCAACGACCGGTTCTCTGTGTGGATGCTTCCGGAAGTCCATTCTGGGCCTGGGCAACCAAAAATTAGCTACCGGTTCTGCTGAACTATGCGAACTGGCTGAATCCCACCACTGTGAGGAAGGAAGGAAGGAAGGAAGGAAGGAAGGAAGGAAGGAAGGAAGGAAGGAAGGAAGGAAGGAAGGAAGGAAGGGAGGGATTCAAATATGTCAACAACTGGTTCTCTGTGTGGATGCTGCTTCCGGAAGTCCATTCTGGGCCTGGGCAACCAAAAACTAGCTACCGGTTCTGCCAAAGTGGTGGGAACTGGCTGAATCCCACCACTGGACCTTTGTAATGGATGTCTGTTTCAAATTGCTTTTCCAGGTAACCAAAGGCCGAGGACCCCTTAAGCAAGAAGCAGCCAGAAGACACAATGGAGAATATCCACGAACTACAGCATCCGCTTCTGGGAAACCCTCCTAACAAGACCCTCCTCCCAGGAGGGATGCTCAGCTGGGCAAGTCCCCAGGACCCTTCTGGGTTGCTCTCCCACCACGTACCCTCCAGCTTCTCCTGGCTTTCTCCCGGCCCCGGTCTTCTTCCCAACCAGCTGCTGAACCCTCGCAGCCTGTCGAGGACCACCGTCCCGACGTCCTCCAGCCTCGCCGAGTCCAAGCTGTACCCGGAGCTGTGGAAATGCAGCCACCCGCCAAGCCGGAGGAAGAAAGATTATATCGAGACCGCCTTCGGGGAGGGCAAGGCGGCCGGCGAACTGCCGCGCAAGATCGCCCTGGAGACGGATATTCACACGGTCTGCTACGAGGTGGGGGACATGGAGCTGCCCGAGGTGGAGGTAGGAGCCAGGCTGGGTAGGAGGGTACTTTAGGGTAGAGGCCCCCAACCTTTGGGGCACCAGGGACCGGTTCCGTGGAGGGAGGTTCTTCTGCGGACCGGAAGGTGTGTGGTTTTGTGTGCTGGCCACATCGTGCGGAGGGGGCATCCCTTGTTTGTGTGGACCAGTTGCTGGTTGATGGACCAGGGGTTGGGGAAACCAAGAAGAGAGACGGGTCCATGACAATTCGGCGTGGCCAATTCACCACGGTCAACTCGCCCTGGCCAACATATCGTGTTAGGGGTGACATAATAGCAGTCTTCCAATATCTGAGGGGCTGCCACAAAGAATGGGGGGTCAACCTGTTCTCCAAAGCACCAGAAGGCAGGACAAGAAGCAAAGGATGGGAACTAATCAAGGAGAGAAGCAACCTGGAATTAAGGAAAAATTTCCTGACAGTTAGAATAATTAACCAGTGGAACAACCTGCCTCCAGAAGCGGTGAATGCTCCAACACTGGAGGTTTTTAAGAAGAGACTGGACAGCCATTTGTCTGAAACGCTATAGGGTTTCCTGCCTGAGCAGGGGGTTGGACTAGATGACCTCCAAGGCCCCTTCCAACTCACTCTGTTTCTATTCCGTGCCGTTCTGTTCTATTCTTCTAAACTTGCCACAGCCGGCTTGCCACAAGGCAACTTGCTATGGGTTGCTTTTTCCAGGGCCGTTGTAAATTTGGTCACTAAACGAATGACTGTTAAGTCGAGGACTACCCGGAATGGTGAGAAACGGCTGGGGGTTGGGTTTTTTTGGAGAAACAGATGGCTGTTGATCAGATGTCTTTTTCCGCCTTCTCCGGCTGCCGTGTCCCTCGGCAGAGAGAATTGTCAGGACAGGTTTTCGATGAGTTTTTTTGAGTCTTCCTCTCCCCGAGAAAAAAAATTACGGGGTCTCAGTGGGACCTTATTTTATTTTATTTTACTTTAATGCCGAGTCGCTCCGATGAGAAGCAATTCATTCAGCCGGCTCCTGGCTTTGTTATCTCGGCAATATTTCGCCAGGCTGACCTACTTGGATTTGACAGAAGGGCTTTCGTGAAAAGTATTTGGGCTTTGATTTTCGAATTATCCGACGCCTCTGGAGAGATACCAGTTCTTGGGGGGGGGGTCTTTGTCTGGTTTTGTTTAAGTGGGTTTTGCCCTTTTTTCAATCTTTTGCACAAAAGGGAAACGGAGGCATGAAACTCCCTCTACAAGAGGGGCAGGCGAGGACAGGAGAGGAGAAACAGGTTAGTACAGGAATTCCTCAGCAAGACAGGCTGTAAAATGGGGGAAAATTCACTTAACGGCTGTCTCGCTTAGCAACGGAAATAGTTGGGCTCAGTTTGTGGTTGTCAGTCAAGGACTACCTGTATTTTACCTTATGCGTTTGCATGACACCTTTGGAAACAGTTTTAACAGAATGACAAGAGCTGGAAGGGACCCTGGAGGTCTTCTAGTCCAGCCCCCTGCTCAAGCAGGAGACCCTTACAGAATCAGAGAATGACAGAGCTGGAAGGGGCCTTGGAGGTCATCTAGCCCAGCCCCCTGCTCAAGCAGGAGACCCTTACAGAATCAGAGAGTAAAAGAGTTGGAAGGGACCTTGGAGGTCATCTAGTCCAGCTCCTTCCAAAGCAGGAGACCCCATTTCAGACAAATGGCTGTCCAGTCTCTTCTTTAAAACTTCCAGTGTTAGAGCATTCACTGCTTCTGGAGGCAGGTTGTTCCACTGGTTAATTGTTCTCACTGTCAGGAAGTTTCTCCTTAGTTCTAGGTTGCTTTTCTCCTTAGTTCTAGGTTGCTTCTCTCCTTGATTGGTCTCCATCCGTTGCTTCTTGTCCTGCCTTCAGGCGCTTTGGAGAGCAGGTTGTCCCCCCACTCTTCTTTGTGGCAGCCCATTTTCCTGGGACGTGTTCCAAATCATGCTCAAAAAAATCGCCATTGGAAATGTTCTTTGAAATGCGTGAAGCACCAACAGGCTGGCAGATCCCAAAGGGTGACTCATGGCTGATCAACCCAAGTGGCTACGATGTCATTGCATGAGGCCTGCAGCGTTTGCACAATGTGATCGTTGCGTGCGAGTCCCCTCACTGCACACCCGTGTTCTCTTCCCCCCCCCTCTCCAGAACGACTCCTCAAGTGACAGCGACACAGAGAGCGAAAACAGCTTCTCCATGTTGCAGCCTCAAGATTATCTGGGCCTGGCGGTTTTCTCCATGTTGTGCTGCTTCTGGCCACTAGGCATCGCTGCCTTCTACCTGTCGCAAAAGGTGAGTGTCAAAGACCGGGAAGGAAGGGAGAGTTGAGGATGAAGGAGCTTTGGGAGGTGGGCAGGACAGCCAGACTGGGACCAAATGGGGGGGCGATTGGTCCTTCTCATCAACGCTAAACTTGGAGGCTACGTATCCCCACGAAGGCCCAGCAGAAATACTTTATTCATTGGTTCATTTATTTGGATCCCATCTTTCTTCTTTTGACAAATAACTTGAGGCGTCAAATATATCTCGACACACCTTCCTCCTCCTCCTCTTCTTTTCCCCAGAACAACGCTCCTGTGAGGTGGGTTGGGCTGAGAGAGCGCGAGGGATTGGCTCAAGATCACCCCAGCTCTCTTTCATGGCTAAAGCAGGACTAGAACTCAGTGTCTCCCGATTACTAGCCTGGTGCCCTCGCCACTAGACCAAACTACTAAGTGGAAGATGCAAAAGGGGGATTTGAACTGGGGGCTCCTTGGTGTTCTCTGAGCTGGGTGGTTTTCTTGCAGACGTTTCACGACCCAACTAGGTTACATCATCAGTGCTAGAAGGGGAGTGGGGTTTGCAGAGAGGAGGAGGAGGAGAAGGAAGAGGAGAATTGTGTGGTCCTTGGTGCTCTCTGAGCTTGGTGGTTCTCTTGCAGACGTTTCATGACCCAACTAGGTAACCTCATCAGTGCTAGAAAGGAGTGGGATTGAAGCAGAAGGGAGGACTGTGGTGTACTTGGTGCTCTCTGAGCTTGATAGTTTTCTTGCAGACGTTTCATGACCCAACTAGGTAACCTCATCAGTGCTAGAAGGCAGTGGGATTTATAAACAGAGAGCAAACCTCATTCCCTTGTAGCACTGATGATATTACCTAGTTGGATCATGAAACGTCTGCAAGAAAACCATCAAGCTCAGAGAGCACCCAGGACTCCTCCTCCTCCTCCTCTCTGCAAACCCCACTCCCTTCTAGCAGTTGATGGTGTTGCCTAGTTGGGTCATGAAAAATCTGTAGAATCACAATCAAGCTCAGAAAGAACCAAGGACCCCACAATCCTCCTCCTCCTCTTCTTTTCCACCAACCCCCCCCTTCTAGCACTGATGATATTACCTAGCTGGGTCATGAAACGTCTGCAAGAAAACCACCACGCTTAGAGAGCACCAAGGACCCCTCACTTCAACCCTGAGCTACGAATATTCCGACGAATGAAGGCGAATATAAATGCAAATATTCCGTTCCATTGGGGAGCTCAACGTCTCCCTTTCCGCGGACGCTAACTGGATCTTCTTCTTCCTCTCCTCTCCCTTCTCCTTGCAGACCAACAAAGCTTCAGCCGGGGGCGATTACCCCAGAGCGTGGACCGCCTCCCGTCAAACGTTTGCCCTGGCTGTCTTGTCCATCATCCTGGGCATTTGCACCTACATCGGAGCGGTGGTGGCCCTCATCGCCTATCTCTCCAACAAGGTCCCCACCTAAGACGTTCTCTCTCCCAAGGAGCCACTGGTCACCCCGTTCCTTGCCTCCCCGTGGAGCAGGAAGGGTGTGTGTGTGTGTGTGTGTGTGTGTGTGTGAGAGAGAGAGAGAGAGAGAGAGAGAGAGAGAGAGAGAGAGAGAGAGAGAGAGAGAGAATGCAGACATTACAACATGGAAGACTTATCCCCGTACCCTGGTCTTGTGATCAGAAGAAAACCAACCCACTGGGTTGAGTTCAGACGAACAGTTTCTTGGACCAAAGAGGACACAGTGACAGGTTCACTTGCAAGAAACCCCCCCCCCAAAAAAAACAGACCGGGGAGGCTAGAAGAAACTTGGGAAAGAGAACCTTGAAGCTGGGGTTTAACTTTTGGGGGACTCCTCTAGTTGGAGATGCATCAACCAGTCCTTGGAGCTATGAGAAGCGGATTGTCCAGCCCAGGAGAACTCCAGGGACGTTGAGGAAGCAGGGTGACCACCAACCTGGAGAAGGACATCAAGCTGGAGATCTTTGCTTTGCTTGCCCTTATGAAGCCCCCAATTCTCTGTGCCCCTCAGTCATGTCTCCTTTTATACAGAGTCACTCAATCCCCCATACCTGTCATGGTCTCCCCCACCCCGACTTCTCAATAAAAGTCAAGGCCCAGCGACCCCTCCCCAGTTGCCCTTGTCCTCTTCTTCTGGGCTGAGCGACACCCCTAAGCCAACATCAGCCTGAGAATGGTGGTCTCCCGGCCCCGTTGAGGTTCAACTGCTGAGGACATGAATACAGGTAAGTCCTCGGCTTTAATGGCCACAAGCGAGCCCAATTGCTCTGTTTGTTCCGTGCGTTTCGCCACCACTGTACAGCCTGACTACGGCTACAGTTGTTAAATTAGTAGCACGGTTGTTAATATGGTTTCCCTGTTGAAACACCGGAGTTGACAGTCTGAATGTGAGAAGTGAGCCACTGCTGACCAACGCCGATACCTTTCAAATGACGTTGGAAAAGGGGCTGCCACTCACCCACCTGGGTTTTGCTGAAGTTGCAGAGAGCCTGTTGGTTCCCCTCTACCGATTGCTCCAGACTCACATTTCTTTTTAGGTTTGATTGATTAAAATCTCCATTATTTGCTCTGTGTCAGGATACAGCAGGCAGCGTTCACAGGGACGATGGGGGGACAAGACGGGATGCGAAATGATTTAATGTGGTTTGAGAAGATGATGCATTGCAGAAATTGCAGGCAGGCAGGTCTCACCAACTAAATCTGGGTTTGTTTGGGGACGAGAAGAGACGAAAAGGACACCCCATCCTTTACGTAAGACTCTGAAGTACTGTAATGTTTCCAAACCGTGGCACCTGTAAGATAGGTGGACTTCAACTCCCAGAATTCAACATAGCTTCCATACCGGGAGCTGATGTCCATGTCGCTTAAACCATGCTGGATGGGGAATTCTGGGAGTGGAAGTCCACCTGTTTTAAAAACATGTTTGTTGGAGAATTCTGGGAGTTGAGAGTCACCCGTCTTAAAACATGCTGGCTGGGGAATTCTGGGAGTGGAAATCTACCCGTCTTAAAACATGCTGGCTGGGGAATTCTGGGAGTGGAAATCTACCTGTCTTAAAGAAGTATGCTGGCTGGGGAATTCTGGGAGTCGAAGTCCCCCCCCATCTCAAAAAGTTCCAAGGTTGAGAAACACAACTCTTGTCCTTGTGGGGGAAAAAAAATAACTTTGCAATGAGGGCAAGCTGGCTTCAGCCGAGAAAACGAGACTCATTAATTAAGGCAGAGGACGCCTCTCCTCCGTGGCCAGCTATGAAGGTGATGAGATGTTCAGGACGCTGAGAAGCAAACAGAGATGGGGGGGGGGAGGAGATGTGATGGGGAAAGAGAGATAAACAAGGTTGCCAGGGAGCTCTTGCAAGCCTGCCCTGGGGGTGAGGAGCTGTCAGTTTAAGGCAAATGAGAAATGATATGCTTAGCCAGAAGCTGGAATCCGACACGCTTGGAGCCGACACTCAGCGCTTTAATGCGTGTCTCACCACACCTGGATTCTCCCTTTCTGCAACACTTCCCTCTAAGGCAGTGGTTCTCAACCTTTTTAATGCCGCGACCCCCAACCGGTCGTAAGTCGAGGACTACTCAACCGGTCATAAGTCGAGGACTACTCAACTGGTGCAGCACCGTTTGCAGAATGGGACTTTTGGCAGGCTCAGCAGGGCAGAGACAGCCTTGGACAATTCCTATTGGCTCTTGAAAGCCAATAGAATTAGACTCTATTCAAGAGAGTCTATTCTATTGGCTTTCAAAAGCCAATAGAATAAAAGGGAGTAGCACAGCTAAGGAAAAGGGGGAAAAAATGGCGGACTGCGTTGTTTGGCGACCCCCGTGAAATGGTCGTTCGACCCCAAATGGGGTCCTGACCCACAGATTGAGAACCACTGCTCTAAGGACTTGGGTTGAAGCTTTGGTGGTGGGCTGTCATCCTTAACAAGCCATTGTGGCTTGCCCGAGCTGCTCCAGGCCGTCCTTGACTTACGACCGACTGCTTAGTGACCGTTCCAAGTTACAACGGCACGGGAAGAAGCGACTTAGGACCGTTTTGCGCACTTTCGAACATTGCCGCATCCCCTTTTGGTGAGGCGATGAAAATTTGGACACATAATAATAATAATAAAGTTGGAAGGGACCTTGGAGGTCATCTAGTCCAACCCCCTGCTCAGGCAGGAAACCCTACACCATTTCGGACAAATGGCTGTCCAATCTCTTCTTAAAAACTTCCCGTGTTGGAGCATTCACCGTTTCTGGAGGCAGGTTGTTCCACTGGTTAATTGTTCTCTCTGTCAGGAAATTCCTCCTTAGTTCTAGGTTGCTTCTCTCCTTGATGAGTTTCCACCCGTTGCTTCTTGTCCTGCCTTCAGGAGCTTTGGAGAATAGCTTAATTCCCTCTTCTTTGGGGCAGCCCCTGAAATATTGGAAGACTGCTATCATGTCCCCCCCTCGTCCTTCTGGGAGTTGAAGTCCATAAGTCTTAAAGTTGCCAAGGTTGAGAACCCCTGCAGTACAGTCCAATGAAGTCCCTTGCAACTTCATTGCAGGGTGTGTGTGTGTGTCTGTGTGAAAGATGAGGGAGGAAATGATTAAAAGCTAAGTTACTGCATTCAGTTAGTTATTAAGAAAAACTCTCCCCTTCTGGAAGGAGAAAAAACCTGGATCCTCTTTTCTAAAATCCGCAGTCCTGGAATTTCGGAAAGGGGGCATTTGAGCTCTTCTCCAAAGTTGAAATATGGGATTTAATTCTTGGTTGGGGGGAAGCATCTCCTTTGGGAGATGCAATTGCTTTCCTAGTTCCCTGAGCTGTTGGCGCGTGCCAAGCCCGAGAGGCCTTCGTTGATTAGAAGCGGATTGCTTGTTGGCACCGGCTTCCCTTTCTCCTTCACGGGTTGTTTGCCAAAATGCCAAATTAAAAAACAAAAAAACAAACCGGAAAAGTCCCAGAGAATAACAATGAGCCGGATACGGTACAAAGATTCCAGACATTTCATCACAACTCAAGGTTTGTCATCAAGGTGACAAAGGGAGGTTGCAGGTCTTCCTGGCGCGCGCGCGCGTGTGTGTGTGTGTGTGTGTGTGTATGAGAGAGAGAGAGAGAGAGAGAGAGAGAGAGAGAGAGAGAGAAGAGGAAAGGAAAGAAGAAAGAAAGAAAGAAAAAGAAAGAAAGAAAGAAAGAAAGAAAGAAAGAAAGAAAGAAAGAAAGAAAGAAAGAGAAAGAGAAAAGCTGGAGCAGAAATCTCTCAATTCGCCAAATGCATCAAGCCACGAGGCAGATTCAAAACTTGGCGACCAACAAGGGCTGCCTTTGCCAGCTTCATTCAGCATCACGGGTGGTCCTCGGCTTACAACAATTCATTTAGTGACCATCCCAAGTTACGAAGGCACGGAAAGAAATAACCGATGACAATTTTTCACGCTTACGACCTTTGCAACATCCTCATGATCAGGTGATCCAAATTTAGACGCTTGGCAACTGACTCATATTTATGACGGTCGCGGTGTCCCGGGGGGCTCATGTGATCCCCTCTCGCGACCTCCTGGCCAGCAGAGTCAATGTGGGGAATCCCGATTCGCTTAACAACGGTGTGACTAAATGAAGAGCTGCAGAGGTTCGCTTAGCCATTGTGGCAAGAACAGATGTAAAACGGGGCCGAACTCACTTAACAAATGTCTCTCTTAGCAGCAGAAATCTTCAGCTCAATTGCAGTCGTAAGTCAAGGATTGCCTGCGCCGAACTAGCCCAGTTTTAGGGTCTGGCCATTGCAGAGAAACTCTGCAGCAGCCCAACAAGCTGGATTTGCATAACACGATCAGCCACAGAAAAACAAGGTAAAAATTAAGTTCTCGTGGGATCCAGTAGCTGATAGATCCTTAAATAACCTCTGAGGAATAAACACAATCAGTGTCTGAATTCGTGCACAGCCTCCTACCACAATTATGTTCCGCTGACAGCTTTAGGGCAATGTTTCTCAGCCTTGGCAACTTTTAAGATGGGTGGACTTCAATTCCCAGAATCCCCCAGCCCGCACGGTTTAGCAACAAACTCAAAACTGCACCCGTCTCCAACTGCTCCCATGGTTTCTCCAAAATTCAGCTTTTCGGTCATCTGGTGCCATATTTTTCAACTTGAGCAACTTGTAGGAGGGCTAGACTCCCAACTCCCAGAATTCCTTCAAACGTCGATTGGGGAATTCTGGGAGTTGAAGTCCGCCCATCTTAATGTTGCCAGGCTGGAGAAATACAGGCCTAAGCCAGGGGTAGGCAACCTTGGCTCTTTTATGACTGGTGGACTTCAACTCCCAGAATTCCTGAGGCAGCATGGCTCCGCTTGGAAACCTCTCCCTTTCTCCTCAGCATGGCTGGCTCAGGAATTCTGGGAGTTGAAGTCCATGAGTCATAAAAGGTTGCCTACCCCTGGCTTAGGGTAACAGTTTTGCAAATCAGTGGTTTCAGGATATGGAATTTACAAAAGAGAATTGTTTTATTTATATTTTGGTGGATGCTGCAGTTCCTCTCTTGTGCGCGGGGATGTCTGTGGGCAGGGGGTCAAAAAAGTCAAGATGGTGGCCCCAACCATGTGACCGAAGCCCTGTCTTTTTTTAATGTGTCGTGATGTGTATAAAAGGTGCACTGCAACCATCCCTTGACCTCAGCCCTTCTCAACCTGCGGTGGTCCAAGGTAACAAAGAACAGGTCTTCGCTCCAAAAACAGGACTCAGCTGGGGTTTCACTTTCGCCGTTTTATTCGTGACATTAATTTCTTTATCAGGGGCAGCAAGTCCTCAATCAGCAGCAGTTTTTTTTCCTTTGTTAACAGAGGGAGTTGCAGCCCTAAAATTCTTCTGCTGGTCTTGCAGCTCCCTCTACCGATTATGAAAAGTTTTTTTTTAAAAAAAAATGGAGAAAAAAAAACCTTAACAGCTCGTTCCTGAAGTCCTGTTATCTGTTTCCGGTGCCTTTAATCTCCCCAAATTTCTCAAAAATGGCGATTGACGGCTCTAAAAGGGGGGCTAGTTAAGATTGAGCCTTTCGGCAGAGAAGATAAGCCTTTCCAGGTGACCCACCCAAGGCTGGTGAACCTTTGGTCCAACCAAGCAGAATAGAATAACACGAGTTGGAAGGGACCTGGGAGGTCATCTAGTCCAACCCCCTGCCATCAAACCAGTTGGTAGCTTCAGGTGATGTATGAGCCAGACTCGTGACTCACGGGCAAGAGATCAAAAAATAGGGCAAGCAATTAAGCAAACCAGGATAAATTTTTCCTTTGCTTCTTCCTGGTCATGGCTTTGCGACAAACAAGTGTGATTATTTCGGACAGAAGCCAAGAGGGGAAAAAAAAAAAAGGGAAAATAATTCAGCCAAGAAGAGAAGAGGAAAGGCTGAAAGAGTTGCATGGGGAAAAAAAAAAAAGTAGGTAAAACTGAGCAAGAATTGCGTTGGATCCAGAAACTTTTCCTGGAGTCAGGAAGTGGATACTTAACGTACGTTTTGGAAATCCTGGAGGCTGAGGGTTGTTGGTGTTTAGGTAGCCAGCATTCCCAGCTTGTTGGCGTCCCATCTGCCAGCTGCTTCCACAACCTGGGTTAAGAGCAGTCTGCGCACATCTGGAAAGTAGAGTCTGCTTTTGGTAGGCTGTTGGCTGCATCAGCCCGTCTTCCTTAGGAATGTCCCATTGTACCGCTGGTGTGTGTGTGTGTGGGCGGGGAAGCAGTCACCACTTTGAGTACTTCCTGCAAGCTGCATCTCGGTAGAAGCGGAAGATGGTCTCAGCCGCTCGCTGCGCGGTGGCAATGCACTGCTGAAGCTGCAGGAATTGAGGAAAGGAGAGATGGTTAAAAGCAGGAAAGGGAAAGACCCCTTTCAAATGGACTGGGGGGCAGCACAACCCTTGCTGTCTGCCCCTCCCTGATAGCATCATAGCTGCAGGTCTCAATTACACCCACAGCAATAGCACTTAGCCCTTAGACCAGTGGTTCTCAACCTTTTTAATGCCGCGACCCCCAACCGGTCATAAGTCGAGGACTACTCAACTGGTGCAGCACCGTTTGCAGAATGGAACTTCTGGCGGGCTCAGCAGGGCAGAGACAGCCTGGACAATTCCTATGGGCTTTTGGAAGCCAATAGAATTAGACTCTATTCAAGAGAGTCTCTTCTATTGGCTTTCAAAAGCCAATAGAATAAAAGGGAGTAGCACAGCTAAGGAAAAGGGGGGGAAAAATGGCGGATTGCGTTGTTTGGTGACCCCCGTGAAATGGTCGTTTGACCCCAAATGGGGTCCCGACCCACAGGTTGAGAACCACTGGATTAGACTTATATACCGCTTCACAGTGCTTTACAGCCCTCTCTAAGTGGTTTACAGAGTCAGCATATTTGCCCCCAACAATCCGGGTCCTCATTTGACCGACCTTGGAAGGATGGAAGGCTGAGTCAACCTTGAGTCGGTCGGCAATGAACTCCTGGCTGTGGGCAGGAGCATTGCCTGCAATGCTCATTCTAATCACTGGGGAGGAAGGGAGGGAGGAAGGAAGGAAGAAAGGAAGGGAGAGGGAGGGAGGGAGGGAGGGAGGGAAGAAGGAAGGAAGAAAGAAAGGAAGGAAGGAAGGAAGGGAGGGAGGGAGGGAGGGAGGGTAGGTAATAGCAATAGTCCGTAGACTTATATACCGCTTCACAGTGCTTTACAGCCCTCTCTAAGCGATTTACAGACTCAGCATATTGCTCTCCAACAATCCGGGTCCTCATTTTACCGACCTCGGAAGGATGGAAGGCCGAGTCAACCTTGAGCCGGTAAGAATCGAACTGCTGGCTGTCGGCAGAATTAGCCTGCAATCCTGCATTCTAACCACTGCGCCACTACAGCACAGTCTACCTGCATACAGGCAGTCCTACAACACTTCATTTTGTGACCGCTAAGTTTGTAAGTGTGAAAAACGGTCACCGGTCACTTTTTTCAGCGCCATTGTAACTCTGAACGGTCATTAAATGACCTTTTGTTGAGTCGAGCACTGTCAATAGGCGAGAATGACCTTAAGAAACTGATAGATGCAGCCCAGAGTACAATAAAGGTAAAGGAGTCAGAAGCCCTCAGCTGCACAACAGACAGAGAAAGAAACTCAGAAAAAAATTCCCCTTTGCTAATCAGGTGATAAAAAGAGACGGTGGAGGATTTGCACTTTCAGACTGGCAAAATTCTGTTAATGCGGCCTGACCATAAAGGACAATTAGCTCGTCTTTTCGAGTTTTCTTATCTGGTCTCCTCGCAAGGCCGTGTTTTAATTTGCCAATTTATATGCAAAGGGAGCCGTCCATTCCCCCACCCACCCCACACCAATGTACCGAGGGAACTTGCAACATGGTTCTCTGTGCCCCCCTTCCTCCTCCATGTCAGCCGAGCCGTTCGCGTGGGGCTGTCAAAAACTGTCTGCCTCGCTTACGCCTTTTCAGCTCAATTACCAGCGGCGCATGGCGTGGCCGGAGTGCGCGAGTCCGCAGCCGGCGGGAATGCAGACAAGCGGCTACAAATCAGGAATCAGTTCAGCCCTCCCGCTCAATTCAGCGGGCCATCAATCTTTCTGGGCGCACACCGAGCCAGTTGTGGTGACGCGGGAACCATCGCAGGAAAACAGCGAACTCTCCTTCCTCCCCAGTTGGCCCCGTTTGGTCTTGGCCAAACAGAAATAATAAAAAATCTGGAAGAAAACCTCTTCCCGGGCACGCACGACTGTCCCATCCTCTTTTTCTTATGGAGGCCAATGCAGGTTTTAAGGTTTCCGAAGATGGGTTTGAAACCAGCCTCAAAAGTAACGGGAATTCTGGGAAGGTGGCCCTGTGCAACCGAAACGGAAGAAAGTCCATGTGTTTCCACTGTCTCCTCTGGCTACTTTTTCCGATTTTGTTCTTGCTGGACCAAATCTGTGGCAAGGAGGGATGGATTCCAACAGCCCTTTGCCAGCCAAAGAAAATTTTCGTGGTTTAGAGTTGAACTGCGGAGACTCAGAGCTCTCTGGGCTTGTTTGTTTTCTTGCAGACATTTCACGACCCAACTAGGGTACACCATCAGGGCTAGAAGGGAGTGGGGTTTGCACTCTGTTTATAAACCCCACTCACTTTTAGCACTGTTACCTAGTTGGGTCATGAAATACCTGCAAGAAAACAATCAAGCTGAAAAAGCACCAAAGATCTTACAACTCTCTTCCTCCTCCTCCTCCTCCACCACCACCACCACCACTCTGCAAACCCCACTCCCTTCTAGCACAGATGATGCTACCTACTTGGGTCATGAAACGTCTGCAAAGAAACCCCCCAAGCTCAGAGAGCACCCAACCCCCCCCCCAGTCTTCCTCGCCCATTTCTCCTCCTCCTCCTCCTCCTCCTCCTCCTCCTCCTCCTCCTCCTCCTCCTCCTCTTCTTCCTCCTCCTCCTCCCTTCTGTTCTTCTATGCCACAAGTCCCACTCCTTTCTAGCACAGATGATGCTACCTAGTTGGGTCATGAAACGTCTGCAAAGAAGCTCAGAGAGCTCAAGGACCCCACAGTCCTTCTTCTTCTTCCTCTTCTTCTTCTTCTTCTTCTTCTTCTTCTCCTTCTCCTTCTTCTCCTCCTCCTCCTCCTCCTCCTCCTCCTCCTCCTTTCTGCTCTTCTATACTGCAAGTCCCACTCCCTTCTAGCAGGGATGATGCTACCTACATGGGTCATGAAACATCTGCAAAGGAACACCAACCTCAGAGACCACCAAGATCACATCCTTGCCTTGGAAACAGAGAGAGCATTCCGACACCCAAGGACAGCCAGCTTCCCTGCATCCACAGTGAGATCACCACCCAGGTGATTCCACAGACCAGAGTTGAGGGCGTTCACACAACTGTACCTTCCAAGCCACAGTGGAACAGATTCACACAATACTCTTATCCTCCATGAAGCAAACCAACTCAGTTCCCCCCTCCCCCCCGGCACGTTGCTTGGTGAGACCAAAATCCTGGGGCAAATCCTTCCCAGCTAGTTTCCAATGAGCCAAGTAAATTGGGGGGGGGGCGCAAAGCTGGATTTGCTTCACGACCATGTGATCTGCTTAACAACCGTACAATTTCAATTAATGATCCCGGTTAAAAACAAAAGATGGGTGAAATTGGATGCAGCCCCATTGCTTAGCAACAGCCATTCCAGACCTAATTGGATGTTTTTTTTCCTTTTGACACCTGTAAGACAAGGACCACCTAACCCATTTTCCCCACCCCAGAGTCATGGTTTGGGCTGCAACTTCCCTCCAAGCAAGGGTTCAATAAAGCAACAAGAATCTGCACACCAGATCCACACCCGACATGGGTTTGCTGGGTTCACACATACACACACACACACAGTTCGGCTTGTCTGTCTTCAATCCGGCATGGGGGGGGGGAGCAGAGCAAGTGACAACAGTACATATTTTGTGGCTCCAGATAATGGGCTATTGCAGAAGCCAAATTAAATGTGTTGTGAGAAGCAATCCACCGTGTCTGATGACAGGTTTTCCCCCCCCCCCATCAGCCCGAGGGCTTCTGCGTGGTTGTCTGTCTGCAACACAAGACAGCCGCTGAAGGACACAACTGGGTTGAAATTGTCCAGGAACGAAGAAGACCCAGCTGGCCAGGGTCGGTCTTGATCGTGGGAGACAATGGAAGCAACCTGTTCACTGTCCCATCTCTTCCCCCAGAGCAAAGCTTTCAAATCAGCGCTAAGGCCAGCACGTCATCAAGTGTCTCTGAGCTCAGATCCGGGAGTAAATTAGAATGATTTGCTGTCCTTGCTGGCTGATGCCAACCGCCCACGGCTGCCCAGGTGACTAAGACACCTGCCAAGGAAAGGATGGAAAAGGCCTTCCCTTCTCCTAGAGCAGTGGTTCTCAACCTTTTTAATGCCGCTACCCCCAACCGGTCGTAAGTCAAGGACTACTCAACCGGTCGTAAGTCGAGGACTACTCAACTGGTGCAGCAGCATTTGCCGAATGGGACTTTTGGCGGGCTCAGCAGGGCAGAGACAGCCTGGACAATTCCTATTGGCTTTTGAAAGCCAATAGAATTAGACTCTATTCAAGAGAGTCTGTTCTATTGGCTTTCAAAAGCCAATAGAATAAAAGGGAGTAGCACAGCTAAGGAAAAGGGGGGAAAAATGGTGGACTGCGTTGTTTGGCGACCCCCGTGAAATGGTCGTTCGATTCCAAATGGGGTCCCGACCCACAGGTTGAGAACCACTGTCCTAGAGCCATGGTCTGTCTCCAAGCTGCCCGGTGGATCGGGAAAAGGGATGGTTCTGTGTGTGCGTGCTCGCCTACCATTCTGCGGACCGGTTACGAACAGGCTGCAGCTCGGTACTGGGTCACAGTCCCGGGGGTTAGGGACACCTGTGCTAAAGGATACTGACAACCTTTAGAGATGGAGAGCTGGAAAAGCCCTGGCATTTTCCCCTTTCCCCCCCTGTCCCTTGTCAGAGTCTTTTGCAAGCCGTTCTAACAGACTCGGTGCAAATTACGAATTATGACTTTACATAATTTTTTTGTTGTTGTTAGTTGCGAAGTCACGTCTGACCCATCGCGACCCCATGGATAATGTTCCTCCGGGTCTTCCTATTAGGCTAGCTTTAAAATGGGTTGGATTATTTTCAGTTCAGTGTGTTGTGAAAACCTAGCTATTTTCTTAATCTGTTGCGTGACCTAGACTATTATGTTACTCCAGATTTATGTTTGGTGCAACCTATTGTATGAGTGCAGCAATTGTATTTTTTTTTATTATTATTATTTAAGTTTAATGTGTAGGTTTGTGAGCACCATCAGCCCTGGTCCTATATCATGCCACTTTTACCTTTTCAAGACTTATTATTGGGTGAGCCCTAGTAATTAAGAAATTAAAATGAGAATTGGGAACCCCACAAGTTCAGCTGCATAATTTTAACTTTTAGCCTATCCCAGACTCGGTGCAAATTACGAGGAGAGCATTTCGGGGCGATAGGGAGAAGGGGGATGTGTAAAACCAAGGCCAGACATCACACAACAGGCTGGTGTTGTCAGGCTTCTGCGGAACTTGCCCTGATTAAAATGGATGCGTGGCTGTGCCCCCTCCGTTCCCCTTCACCTAAGCGCCGATTTTAGCCAGAGGCGCTGAAGATGGTGATGAATGCTTAAAGAGGTGGAGACAATGCTTGCAAAGACCCCCAAAGGGGCATTCCTGCTAAACGGGGAGGGGGGGGGAGGGAAACAGTACAACAGCGCTCAGGTCAAGCCTGAAAACAACATTTAAAAAAAAAAATCATAGACCGAGGGGCATTAAATCAAAAGAATGGAGCAAAGCACAAAAGGGCTACAGAAGTTGACATTCATCCAGAGCAGGAAAATCTCCCAGCTGATAGGCACAAAAAACCACCTTCAGGAGACAAACTACAAGCAGTCCTCGACTTACAGCTGGAATGCAGCCTGGAATTATGGCCGTACGTCAGGGCAGTCATTAAGTGGGTCACCGCTGGATCAAGCTCAGTTTTATGTTGTTGTTAGGCAAAAGCATTGATTGTGAGCGTAGCTGTCATTGAGCGAGTTTGGGGCTATTTTTTTTTTTTTTGCTGAAAATTGGAAGCAATTGGGAGGAGGGGAATTCTGGGAGTTGAAGTCCACCCCTCTTAAAAGTTGCCAAGGCTGAAAAAAAATAATCTAGTTCAGTGCCAAGAATTTACCTGCCTAAGAAATGGCCACTGGAAGGAAGAGAATCTTTGTAGAATCGGGGTTGAACTGTGGCGTCCTTGGGGTGGGTTGTTTTCTTGCAGACGTTTCATCACCAAATGTGGTAACATCGTCAATGTTTTGTTTACAGGGTTTACAGAGAGCAAACCCCGCATCCTTCTAACCTTGATGATGTTGCCTAGATGGGTAAGGAAACGTCTGCAAGAAAACAAGCAAGCTCAGAGAGCACCATGGAGCCCACAGTTGTCCTCCTCCTCCTCTCCAGAAACCCCACTCCCTTCCAGCACAGATGATGTTACCTAGTCGGGTAATGAAATGTCTGCAAGAAAAGAAGCAACCTCAGGGAGCACCAAGGTCTCCACAGATGAACCCGGCTCTTCTCTTCCTTCAAATGTGTGTGTGTGTCTTCATTCCGAGTGGGATAACGGCGGCTACGACCCGACGCTATCAGGAGGATACCCAGCCCGAGAAAGAACAGACCAACCTCAACCAAAGAGAAATCTGGGCCGCAAATAATTCTGTTTTTCGAGAGCCCCCATTTATTACAATTCACTCTTCGAATGAAAACGCGGCCTTTGCCACCTGACAGAAACACTGGTCTAATTAATGGTGCCTGGCCGCCTGCGCCACTCAATAGCGCATTAACGTCCCTAATTGTCCCTTTGGAGCAGGACGGGCTCGGCGTTCCGAGCCATTTGGCCGAGATGCGATGACGGTAATGAGAAACGACTCGACGCGTCTCGCCTGGAATGCTAAGGGCCTTTTGCCGATGCACAGGCAGAAGGACACAAAGGAGAGCACATCTCACCCGTTATTTTGTTTTCTCTCTCTCTCATCCTCAGCCTGTCTGTCTCTCCGCCACCCATACCCGTGCACGCTCACATAGAGGCAGTCCTCAAGTTGCGGCCGTTAGGTAACCGCCGTTAAACAAATCACCACGTACATCCACCGTTGTTAAGCAAAGGCCACAGTCATTTAACCAAGGGCTAATTTCAGTGGTGGGATTCAGCCGGTTTGCACCATTTCAGCAGAACCGGTAGCTAATTTTTTGTTGCCCAGGCCCAGAACGGACTTCCAGAAGTGGCATCCATGCAGAGAACCGGTTGTTCACATATTTGAATCCCACTTCCTTCCTTCCTTCCTTCCTTCCTTCCTTCCTTCCTTCCTTCCTTCCTTCCTTCCTTCCTTCCTTCCTTCCTTCCTTCCTTCCTTCCTTCCTTCCTTCCTGTGGTAGGATTCAGCCAGTTTGCACCACGTCGGCAGAACCGGTAGCTAATTTTTTGTTGCCCAGGCCCAGAACGGACTTCCGGAAGTGGCATCCATGCAGAGAACCGGTTGTTCACATATTTGAATCCCACTTCCTTCCTTCCTTCCTTCCTTCCTTCCTTCCTTCCTTCCTTCCTTCCTTCCTTCCTTCCTTCCTTCCTTCCTTCCTGTGGTAGGATTCAGCCAGTTTGCACCACGCTGGCAGAACCGGTAGCTAATTTTTTGTTGCCCAGGCCCAGAACGGACTTCCGGAAGTGGCATCCATGCAGAGAACCAGTTGTTCACACGTATGAATCCCACCACTGGTTAATTTGTAGTGCGGTTTTGCAAGAAAATCAGAAGGACGGGTAATCACCGACTTATAACAGCTTGTTTAGAGAGAAACAATCTAAAACTAAGGAGAAACTTCCTGAAAGTGAGAACAATTAACCAGCGGAACAACCTGCCTCCAGAAGCGGTGAATGCTCCAACACTGGAAGTTTTTAAGAACTCGGCACTGCAATTGCTGAGGGAAACAGTATAAAATCAAAGTGAGGAAAACCTCTAGGCCAGTCTAAAAAATAAGCAAGTGCAATTGAATCCACAAAAGGCCCCTAGAGGTATTATTATTATTTTTAAAAATGAGGATTTAAATGAATTTCCCTCCGTAATCCTTTGTTCTGGGTACGTTTTTCAAGGCTTTGAAGTTGCTTGCAGGGAGGAAGCAGGCCAAAATACTTTGAATAATATTAATAATAATAAATCAGCACGTGACCCTAGGAGGTGCGTGGTTACCATGGATACCTGACACACTAGCAGACGGTTGCCTTGGGTTTAACACGGCAATTTGTAATTTCTCCCCCCCCCCAAAGTATTGGCTCCTTCCTCTGATAACACTCCCTCCCCCCCATAGTGTGTGTTTTTGGGGGGGCGGCAAGCATCTTAGATTGGAGTTAATCCATCTGGATCGGCCAAAGTGCCGATGCCACTCCGTCCATCAGCCCCAAACGGGCCCTTGGGGACCGATCCACCCATCTTGTATGTGTGTCAGAGATATAAAAAATATCAAGAAGTAACGGACAAACAAAGCATTCAACACTCCCCCCCCCAGGCAAATGGGAGTGGGGTAGGGTGGGCAACAAGTCCAGATTCAGGCAGGTGATACCCATCCTCACCTGTTCTTCGGAACACGTCCCCTTCATGGTGGAGAGCAGGACTTTTTTCTCCACGCTATCGATGGCGAAGGTCAACACCGCAGGGGCACCCTGCAGGAAGACAGAACGTTGAGCTCCCGGAAGGCTACGGAAATTCTTAATTTTGATACGAATCAGAACCGGCCTTCCCAACACTTGCCTCCTATTGTGTTTCCCCCCAAAATAAGACCCCGCCGGAAAATAAGCCTTAGCTTATGATTTTTTTTTTCCAGGATGCTCGTAATATAAATAAGCCCCAGTTAAGATCGTCAGCCAGACGGACGCATTTAGTACAGGATTTCCCTGAAAATAAGACCTAACCGGTAAATAAGCTCTAATGTGTCTTTTGGAGCAAAGGTTAATATAAGACCCGGTCTTCTTTTTGGGGAAACACGGGTACATCTCCTCTAAATTCCCAGGAAAGGTGGGAAGCCTGAAAAAGGCCTTTAAAATCTAATTTGAATTCAGAGAAGCAAAACGGCCGTCGCCAATGGATTCGTAGCCCCTCGGTATGCTTAGAAGGGTGATGGGTTTTTGAGCCCACCCTATCTACATTTCCTTGTAAAATACTGTACATGGGAAAATCCACATGGGGGTTAGGGTTAAGGGTTCGAGTTAGGAGCTGGGGTTAGGTTTTGAGTTCAGCAAATGCAATTTTTCTTGCCATGTTCAAACTTCTCCGTTCCGAAGTAAGCGGATTAAAGCAGATTTGGCTAAGTGTTGCTATTTTCCCCGTTGAAGCGCGACGGTGATGCAGCTTCTTTAACTTTCTGTGGGGATTGATTTATTTTTTCAATAATCATTCGGATTTTCCAATCCCCTTTATTAGAGGAATTTAGGGAGCGTGGGGTGTAAATAATTTGAGTAAATAAAATGTGATTTGGCCTTATCTGGTTGAATTATTGACCATGGAAAGAAAAAACCTGGGTTAATTAAAAAAAAATAGTCCAAATTCTTGGATTTGGCAGCGTTTCTCAACCTTGGCCGTTTTTAAGATGGGTGGACTCCAACTCCCAGAATTCCCCAGCCAATAGATTTGCTTCAATGCTCAATATTCCTCAGCCAGCATACACAGACATCAACTCCCAGAATTCTCCAGCCAGCAAGGATTCTGGGAGTTGAAGTCCACTCATCTTAAAGTTGCAGAAGTCAAGAAACAATGCTTTGGCTGTTCCGTTAGTGATGTAAACAGAAACTTTACCAAATCTTTGCTCATGTTGTCTCCTGCCTGCTCCTCCCCAGTGCCCGGTGGAGCCTTTGGTACTCCCTGTCACCAAAAGAGCAACCGCATTTATTCTGCCTGGAATGAAGAAGGAACCCACCTTTTCTTGCTTCGCCGTGGGGTCCAGGAGGATATTGCCACCGGCGTCCAAGGCGCAGGTCACTCCGCAGAACAAGGAGCTCATTGGCAGCCCGGCATCCACCAGTCCCACGCAGGCGGCGTTCAAACAGCTGGAGAGCAGCTTTACGGGAAGAGATTTTATTCAAGGAAAATAAGAACAAACCAAGAGAGGGAAAGAGAGGAGAGGGAGAGAGAGAGAGGAAGAAAGGGAGAGGGGGGAGGGAGAGGGGAAAAAGGGAGGGAGAGACAGAGGGAGGCAGAGACATGGGGGAAGAGAGGAGGGAGAGGGAGAGGGGGAGAGAGGGAGAGGGAAAAAAGGGAGGGACAGGGGGAAAGAGGGGAGACAGAGGAGAGAGGAAGGGGAGAGAGAGAGAAAGAGGTGGAGAGGAAGGGAGAAGAAGAGATGGGGAGAGGGAGAGGGGAAAAGGGGGGGAGAGACAGAGGGAGAGGAGGAAACAGAGGGAGAGGTAAAAAGGGAGGGAGAGATTGAGGGGGAGACAGTGGGAGAAAGGGAGAGGGAACCGGAGAGAGGAAGTGCGGGAGAGAGAGGGAGGGAGAGGGAAAAAGGGGAGGGAGCGACAGAGGGAGAGAGGGGAGACAGAGGGAGAGAGAGAAAGGGAGAAGGAGACAGAGGGAGAGAGGAAGAGGGAAAAAGGGAGGGAGCGACAGAGGGAGAGAGAGGGGAGACAGTGGGAGAGAGGGAGAGGGAGCCGGAGAGAGAGGGAGAGGGAAAAAGGGAGGGAGCAACAGAGGGAGAGAGGGGAGACAGAGGAAGAGAGAGAAAGGGAGAAGGAGACAGAGGGAGAGAGGAAGAGGGAAAAAGGGAGGGAGTGACAGAGGGAGAGAGGGGGGAGACAGGGAGAAAGGGAGAGGGAACGGAGAGAGGAAGATGGGGAGAGAGAGGGAGGGAGGGAGAGAGGCTGGTGATGGACAGCAGCAGGTAAACTAGCCAGATCTGCAATTCAGAGCCGTGGGCAGCCACCCAGTCACCAGGAATCAGGGGAGGGGGGAATATATATATACCGTATATGCCGCCGTATTAGGCGACCCGGCGTATAAGACGACCCCCGTCTTTATAGCCGGGCCGCATTCCTAGAACGTCGTCTTATACGCCGGAAACTACCAGTATTTCCGGCGTATAAGACGACTCGGCGTATAAGACGACCTCCGTCTTTGGCGCCAATTTCAGCGCTCGCGGAAGCCGTCTTATACGCCGGCATTTACAGTATTAATAACATTTTTCTCAATACAGGTAGTCTTCCACTTATGACCGTCCTTCTAGTGACGATTCAAATGTACAACGGCGCTGAGAAAAGTGACTTCAGTCCGGTCCCCACCCTTACGATTATCATGCATTTCCACAGACCCATCCCCAAGTTGCTCAGCAAGCAGTCGATTGAAGATGCAAAACGCTTGCAAGCCGAGAGAGGGAACGAGGACCCTCAGCTCTCAAGGCCTCCCGCTCTGCAAACGGCTCAGTGCCCTCTGCGGGCTGCAGATAAGTAGCTTCCTGGGGATTGACTGGCACAGCTTAAAAAAAAAGGCTCTGGCTTTTCACGGCCGCTGCTGCCCTCTGCCGCCCTCCGCTCTGCCAAGCCGTTTCAGCTCTTTGGAAGTAGAAGAGAGAAGTCAAGAAAATTCCCAGCCTGGGGAAGGAAGGGGGGGAGAGGGGGGCACACACACAACAAATAAAGGAGGCGAGCCGAATCTGAAGGCTTTCCGACTCTCCCAAGCCATCATGCCAGCAGAAGCCTGGCAGAGGTGAAACCAGGTTAAAGACAGGGCAAGCTAGCATGTGTCCTCGCTCGCTGTATTCCTTTTATTGCTTTTTTTAACGGCTCGGTTAAGGTCAGGATCTCCATGTTCTATTGTTGGGCTAATTGATTCAAATCACACCAGGGGCTTGGAATCAGGCAAGTGGCAGTATCCCTTCTCTAAGGCCCGTGGATCCTAGGGCTGGCTGGGGGTGATGGACACGGTAGTCCAAAGTATCTTAAAAGCTACCCCCCTCCCCGCCCAGCTGAGAAAGGCTGAAGAGAAGGGCAGGAGAAACGTAGATTCATTTCTCGCAAGGTTTGATTTGATCTGATCTAGCGGGGCTAATTAACTGTAGTCTGTTCAGAAGTTTGGGGGAAAAATACAGAAAGACAGACTGTTCTCCACAACACTGTATTGCGGTTAAGGCGTGCACACACACACACACACACACACACACACACACACACACACACAGAGACACACACCTCAAAGTGCTGCCCTCCAGCTGTTTTGAAGTCAGCCATCCCGCATCTGCAGGAGCCAAATTGGAGAAGGCCGAGTTAGAAGACTGTTTTTTAGACTGGTTTTTCAACTCAGCTCCTTTAAAAAGGGTGGACTTCAACTCCCAGGATTCTCCACCCAGCACGCATGGAACTTCAATTCCCAGAATTCCTCGGTCAGCATGCTCGTGAACTTCAAAGAGGCACGGACTTCAACTCCCAGAATCCCGCAGTCAGTAGGTATGGACTTCAACTCCCAGAATTCCCCACTCAGTATGCTAGTGAACTTTTAAAGATGTGCAGACTTCAACTCCCAGAATTCCCCAGCCAGCTATGTACGGGCTTCAACTCAGAATTTTCAACTAGCACGCAGGGACTTCGACTCCCACAATCCCCCAGCCAGCAGGTATGGACTTCCCCAGAATTCCCCAGCCAGCATGCTAGTGCAATTTACGATGTCTGGACTTCAACTGCCAGGATTCCGCAGTCAGCAGGCTGGCTAAGGAATTCTGGGAGTTGAAGTCCTTACATCTTAAAAATATGAGATTGGGACACATTATACAGGGAGACAGATTGCAGCTAAGTACAAAGAATTGTAGTCTCGCCCCCATCACAATTCACAAGTCCAGAGCAAGCTCCAGTTGAACAGCTAGACGCACTTGGGTTTTTGGGCGGGTGGGGGGAGGGGAGGGGTGTGTGGAACACAGAGCACTCTCCCCCTCCCATGCCATTTCCTGAGAGATCCGTCGTATCTCTCCCTCAAAATGCTGCTTTCTAAAAAGGATACGGATCCAGCATCTGCAATCACCTGAAGAACCACCATAACAGAAGAACGGGGATGCAGGTTGCCCAAAACCACCGCCTCACAGGTCTTCTTGATCATCTGCTCTCTGCTTTTTTCATAGACACCTGCAAAAAAAAAAGGGTGGGTGGGTGGTTAGAAGGCTTGGCAATTTGCTAAAATGTCCCAATATGCTGATGCAGAGACTCTAGAAAGAGTACAGAGAAGAGCAACAAAGATGATTAGGAGACTGGAAGCTAAAGCATATAAAGAACCGTTGCTGGAATTGGGTCTGTCTAGTTTAATGAAGAGAAGGACGAGGGGGGACAGGATAGCAGTGTTCCAGTATCTCAGGGGCTGCCCCAAAGAAGAGGGAGTCAAGCTCTTCTCCAAAGCGCCTGAAGGCAGGACAAGAAGCACGGATGGAAACTAATCAAGAAGTGAAGCAATTTATAACTAAGGAGAAACTTCCTGACAGGTCTAACAAAGAGTAATCTAATTGAATTCAATTCTGCTTCCAGCACATCCCACTGGACATGTTTCTTGGCACAGCTTCCAAGTGAAATAAGAATTTCAGGATTTCCAGGGACTTCCAAACAGCTTGCATAATACAAAGATTGTGATACAGGTAGTCCTCCATTTATAACCATCAGTGACCATTAGAAATTACGACGGCACCGGAAAAAGGGACATGATCGCTTTTCCAGACTTACAACGGCTGCAGCGTCCCTGTGTTCACGGGATCAAAATTCAGACACTTGGCAATGGATTCATATTTATGATGGCTGCAGTGTCCCGGGGTCACGTGATCCCCTTTTGCGACCTTCCAACAAGCAAAGTCAATGGGGAAGAAGTCAGATTCACTTTACATCCGTGTTACTAACTTAACAACTACAGCGATTCACGTTACCACTGCGTCGCTTAGCAAGAGAAATGTTGGACTCAATTGTCGTCATAGGTTGAAGACACCTTATGTTCCTAAGTGCAAAAGGCTCCAAAGTTGCTCACACCTCCCCAAGCAGCCTCTCTGCTTCTACTGTGATTTTCTGTGATCCATTGGGTCCGTAAGATCTTTTCAGAAGAGGGCTCCTTGTCCCCCCCCCAGACAGGAAATAAATCCGTTCGTTTTTCAATTGCATTATTTCCAGCAAAGCCAGCTTCTCCACAGACTCTGTGTTGAAAAGGGTCTTGAGCAGTGGTTCTCATCCTGTGGGTCGGGACCCCATTTGGGGTCGAATGACCATTTCACGAGGGTCACCAAACCACGCTGTCCGCCATTTTTTTCCCTTTTCACTAGCTATCCTACTCCCTCTTATTGGTGGCCACACCCACTTGGGGGTCACCACAACATGGGGAACTGTATTATGGGGTCACGGCATTAGAAAGGTTGAGAACCACTGGTCTTGAGGGATAAAAGAGTATTTTGTTGTTGTTGTTTCCTCTCTCCGCTTGCCAGCAATCTTCCTTTGTGGGCTCCTGGCAGAGGGAACAAAACATCCAGATGGCGTTCTTGCTGGGGTTCCAGATGGCCCGCTTGGTTATGGAGATAACGGATCACCTCACCTTTGGATTGTGCTCCCTTCAAGAAGGGTGGGAAGATCGGTGAGCGTGCCCAAGAATTTAAATCAGAGGAAGGGCTGGACAGAGTGGCTATGCTCAGACATAACACAAATGCGGTCTGATACTTAAGAAACACAAAAATGTGAGATGGCTTATATGGAAAAAATAGAATCAAGTCTGTCAACGTAAATGTAACTCATTGCTACCAGTAAAAATATTCAGAATTTGGTGGGAGAAATAAACTAAAATAAGGACTGTAACAGGATTGATGATAAGGCAATCCAAATGAATGGAAAGAAAAGAAATGTATTAATATGATGATTATTTTTTAGGAATATTGGAAAAAATATATACTAAATTGTTAGTTATTAAAATAATAAGATTTGTTTTAATGCAATGTTTGCAAAAAAGGATGTTTTTAGGGAAAGAGGAAAGTAAATAAAATTAATATACGAAATACAGACTATAGAAATTAATTGTTAAGGATTGTTTTTACAAATGTAACCTAGACACCACACTGTTTACCAACTATTGAATGACTTATGTTTGTGTAAAAAACTAATAAAAATTATAATAAAAAAAAATAACACAAATGTGGGATTGTCATACGTCTATGGAGATTCGCAGTCATCCAGATCCTGGTTGTCCCAAAAGGGACTTTTTCCAACTAGACTTCCTTCATTTTTCCTTGAAAATATTTCTCTTCTCATCCAAGAGGTTTCTTCAGTTCTGACAGTCACTGACTTTGGGCCAATTACCAGGAGACAGAGTTCTAGTCCCGCCTTAGACATGCAAGCCAGCTGAGTGACCATGGGCCAGTCCCTTATTCTCAGTGTTGTTGTTGTTGTGGGGAAAACAGGAAGAAGATGTGTTGGGTATGTTGTCACCTTGAGTGATTTGTAAAAGTAATAAAGGCAGGGATATAAATAAATAAACACAAGCATATATATTGCATCTACCAGCGCCTAGCAGGCAAACAAAAAAAACCTCAAAGGAGGATCATCTTTGGGGTGATCTCCAACATAGGACCCCCTCACCTGGCAGGCCCACTTTCGGCCTGAGCAGCACCTCCAGAGTTGCTTTATCGTAGATTTCCTTGCTGACCTTCACTTCTGTGGGTCCGTACACCCCGACTAACACGGAGGTATCTCCTGAAAATATCCAGGGAAAAAAAGGAAGGCTGTAAATATGCTCCTAGCAGCTGAATTATGGAAATGAGGGAATTGACAGAAAATGTATCTACTCTCAATCTCTCTTTCGGGAGGGAAACTGACCTGTGGCACAAATATGTTGAATTGCTAATAACGGGAAGAGTTGAAATGTAGCAGAACAGTTATTCAAAGCATCCTCCATGATTTTCCAAAGGGGGGGTTGCTGCAAATAACCCTGGGAGTTGAAGTCCACACGTCCTAAAATGGTCGCATGTTTGAGGGGGGGAAAAAACCCCTGATTTTAAATCAGGGGGTCTCCAACTTTGGTAACTGTTAAGACTTGTGGACTAGGCTGGCTAGGGAATTCTGGGAGTTGAAGTCCATCCTTCATGCCAGGGAAAAGAAATCAGCCCTGGAACCAACCACAACACACCTCTGAGCACCACTGGGTGCTGCCCCACCCCAGGGAGGAACTGAACTCGACTTGGGAGTCCAGCATATCCCGAAGGCGCCCAGTTAGGGAAGGAAAGGACACCACGAGGCGATCAAGAGGCGGGACGGAGGGAGGGAGGACGGCAAGCCACGCTGCGCACCCTGCATCCAAGAGACGGAGCCGTCGGGACGGGAGAGCGGCCCTTGCTCGCACACCATCCGGCGCAAAGAGGGCAGATCGCCGGAGTCGAAGCGCCGCTGTTCGCTCTCCATGCTGCCTGCCGCCCACCTGGTCCCTTCGCCGCACTTCCGCATCCGGGGCTTTTTTTTGTTTTCCCCGTGCGTGGCTGTCGCAGGGACGGCTGATTGGCGGTTGGCCGCCACGCCACGCCCCCGCGCTCTGCAGGGCCCGCCCCCTGCCCACCCTGGGCAGCCCTGGTAGAATTACGGCACTCTGTTCTGGCCTTTGCAAGGGGGCGTCTTTGGGCCGGGGGGGGGGCATTTTGGGATCTCTCTGCCCCCTCTCAGCGGCAGACTTTACTTAAAGGGAGGGAGCAAGCCCCCTCCCCAAGCCAAGTTGCATTGTGCATGTTCAGCCCTTTTTCTCTGACACGCATCTTTTTATGATGGATATTTCTGATTTGCTTGGTGCGTCTCCTCCTCCCCCCCCCCCGCTGCCTTTGTACTCCAGCAAGCGATCAAGATCCCCAGCACTGTGTTATTTTGCGATTTATTTATTTATTTTGTTCAGTTTATGAGAGCTTGTACTGCAGAAGACTCTGGACAGCAAATCTAAGAATTATATCTATCTAGGTTTATCTCTCTCTCCATTCCTATTATTCTATTTCTGTCTGTCTGTCTATCTATCTATCTATCTATCTATCTATCTATCTATCTATCTATCTATCTATCTATCTATCTCATTATCATCTATCATCATCATCATCTATATCTAATTTCTTTATATCCAATCTCTATAATATATATCTATATCTATCTATCATCCATATCTAATTTATCTATATCCAATCTCTATAATATATATCTATGTATCTATCAATTATTTATATCTGATGTCTATATCTAATCTCTATAATATCTCTATAGCTATATGTATATATCTCTATCTATCATCCATCTCTATCATCTATCAATCTCTCCTTTATCCATTCCACCCTCTTTCCATCCATCCATCTCTATCTATCTATCTATCTATCTATCTATCTATCTATCTATCTATCTATCTATCTATCTATCTATCTCTATCATCTATCTATCTATCCCTATCTATCTATCCCTATCCTTCCTATCTATCTATCTATCTATCTATCTATCTATCTATCTATCTATCTATCTATCTATCTATCTATCTATCTATCTATCTATCTATCTATCTATCTATCTATCTATCCCTCCTCTCCCCCCCCCTTATATATCTGCCTCTATCTCTTGGAGATTGGTTGGTCGGGACGGGGGTGGGGAGAGGATTCCTGGGCCCCCGAAGTGTTGCTGGATCCCATGCCCATCATCCTCGCCCATCACCTGAAAGCTAAACCTCCGACGGAGCCCCCCTGCCCCCCGAATCCCCTTCTCCCCCAACCGGGCGCCCTCCGGGGGGGGCTGCCACAATAGCTCCCACCGCCCTAATCCCGAACGGGCGCCCCCGTCCTGCCCAGGGAGGCGGGCGGAGGAGGAAGAGGGGGGGGGGCAAGGCGGACGGGTGTCCCGGCGCTGCGCTGCGCTCCGCCCGTTCCCGGGCGCGGCTTGCGGGCTCTCCGCCTCTCCGGCAAGATGGCAGCAGCGGCGGGTCGAGCCGGGCTGGGCTTCCTGCGGGGGCTGCGGCTCCCCGGCCCGGCCGCGATCAGGGGGCTGCGCGCAGGAGGGGTGAGTCGCCCTCCCGCCCGGGCTGGGGGGGGTCTCCCTGGAGGAGGGGGTGCTCTGGGAGGGGGGGTTGCTAGTGCGGGGGGGTCTCTGGGACGACTAAAGCTCCGAGGAGAGGGGGGGAGATGGGGGGGTCTCCTAGGGATGGAAGTGGGGCGGTGGGTGTTATGGATGAACTGCCCTTGGCCAGTGAATAGGGTCAGCGAAACTTCACGTAGAGATCGGACATTTGTCTGAGAAGGTCTGGGGTCTCCTGCTTGAGCGGGAGGGTGGGGGGGTGGGGTGGACTAGAAGACCTCCAAGATCCCTTCCAGTTGCATTCTGATTGACAGGGGAGAGGTATTGGGGGGGGACCTTCTCCAGATGGGAGGGTTTTGGGGATCTCCCGTTAAGGAACCAGATGGGGAGCATGGCTCCCCAAAAGTTTTTTGCAAAGTTCTTTACAGACACACACACACACACACACACAACCAGAAGGGGAGCTGACCTGACAGGGTGGGAAAGCCCCCAACCCCGTATTTGGGATCCAAGGAGGAAGGATTGGAGAAGGCAGATGATCCACCACCACCTGCCTTCCAGAGCCGAGGGACGACACGCCCCATCCTCCCCAGCCAAGGAGGTTGGGCATTGTTGTCCAGCAACCTTGGAGGGGGCCGGGACCCTTGCATGATGAGACCCCTTTCTTTTCTGGTGGATTTCTGAAAAAATCTGCCGAATTGGGCCCCCAATCTCTTCAAACAGGGCTGCCCAAACTTGGCCACTGGAAGACTGGTGGACTTCAACTCCCAGAATTTCCCAGCCAACCATGCTGGCTGGGGAATTCTGGGAGTTGGTCCACCAGTCTTCCAGTGGCCAAGTTTGTACAGCCCTGTTTTTTAAAGAGAGAGAAAGGAGTGCGGAGTGGAGGACCAAGGACCCTTATACCTCCGTGTGTAGTGTGTTGCACATATGTGCAAATGAGGGGCTGAATGCAAAGGGTTTTTTTTTTCCCCAACAACCTTGCAAAGAGCAGTGGGGGGCCCCTTCCCAAAGTCAGCTGTTGAAGTGGGCGGCTATACTGTAGAAATTAAACAAATAAATCCATAAATAAGAGATATTGGGCCATCCGCCATCCATCTGGCTGAGAATATCTGCAAGACTAGGTGCGAAACTAGACTTTCCAGTTCCCCAGCCCCTTTGTTCAAGACTTAACCCAGTTTTCTCAACTTGAAGACGTTTGGACTTCAACTCCAAGAATTCCCTGGCTCGACTGAAAAACATTGGGTTATATAACTAGATGGGGATCAATCCCCAAAATAAATAAATAATATCTCCATTTTTGTTGGTAATTGGGAGGGGAGGCGTGTTTGGAATAAGATGTATTTAGGTGTGTATGTGTTTGTGTGTGCCCTCAAGGCCTGTTGGATTACAATTTCCCTTGTTCTACAGATCCCATGCAGCACATTCATTTCATTTTATTCGGTTGTATTCCGCCTTTATTAACATTTATAAATAACTCAAGGCGGTGAGCATACTTAATACTCCTTCCTCCTGCTATGTTCCCCACAATGACCTTGTGAGGAGGGTTGGGCTGAGAGAGAAAATGGGTGTCCCAAAGTCACCTAGCTGGCTTTCATGACTAAGGCAGGACTAGAACTCACCGTCTCCTGGCGATTGGCCCAAAGTCTTCCAACTGGCTTTCATGCCTAAGGAAGAACTAGAATTCACAATCTCCTGTTGGTCCAAAGTTATCTAGCTGGCTTTCGTGCCTTAGGCTGAACTAGAATTCACTGTCTCCTGGTGATTGGCCCAAAATCTCCCATCTGGCTTTCGTGCCTAAGGCAGGACTAGAACTCCCAGTCTCCTGGTGATTGGCCCAAAGTCACCGAACTGGCTTTCATGCCTAAACTCATCATCTCCTGGTGATTGGTCCAAGGTCACCCAGTTGCTTTCATGCCTAAGGCTGGACTAGAACTCTCCATCTCCTGGTTGCTAGGCTAGTCCTAGACCACATCTCCCAGTCACTAGACCACATCTTAATGAGATGCTATTCATCCCACCTCTGGTGCATTCAAAGTGGCCTCTGCAACCACAGGAGAAACCCAAAATCCATTGTTTTCTGCACTGAATATCTTGATGCGCTACCCCGCAGTTTGCACGTGAAAAGCTGCAACAGTGTGCAGGCTTCTGGGAGGGTGTTTCAGCCGGGTGTGCTTCTGAGAAGGCCCTACCAAATAGCCAGCCTCAACCCCCCCACACTCCAAAATTTAAGGACGATATATATATATATATATCAATTCAACCAGGAAGTAAAAATCTTGTTCAGAAAAATGTCCAGTTTGCTTTTCAGAATGCCCGGAACATCTTTTGCAAAGGCATTTTCAATTTGTGTGTGTGTGTGTGTGTGTGTGTGTGTGTGTGTGCTCGCCTGGGAGCACACACACACAGGGAGGAGGGCAGACAGTGCCCTTGTGAATGCCTCCTCTGATTGGTCCATTCCAGGGGGCGTGTTGAAGGCAGGTCATGCATCTCCCCAGCACGAGCCGGGCACCAACAATTGGCATGGAGCTTATTTATGCCAAGGGCAATTAGCTTCTCTTGGTGTGAAAGGAGAGGATTTGTGGGTTTTTGCGCCAAGAAAGGTGCTTTGGTTTGTTAACTAAAGATTCTTTTTTCTTGAAAGGGAACTCTTCATCTGGAACAGCTACTACAGTTTTAAATCACCTTGTTTGGAGAGTCGGCCTTGTGAGAGAACAATAGCAGACGTATTCAGCTGCAAGGCCTAGTGGTTAAAGGCTGGGGGGGGGGGCTGTGACCTTATTACCCAGTCTCAGATGAATCTAGATTATAGGATTGGGGTGGAGAATAAAAGGAGGAATGATTTTCATAGAGATTCCAGAAAACAGAATTTATTTTTTTTCCTTCCTTCCTTCCTTCCTTCCTTCCTTCCTTCCTTCCTTCCTTCCTTCTTCCCTCCTTCCTTCCTTCCTTCCTTCTTCCCTCCCTCCCTCCCTCCCTCCAATCTGTCTATCTATCTATCTATCTATCTATCTATCTATCTATCTATCTATCTATCTATCTATCTATCATCTTTTTCTCCCTCCTGTATTTCTGTCCGTTTATCTATCTCTCTTTTTTCTTTCTTCCTTCCTTCCTTCCTTCCTTTCTTTCTTTCTTTCTTTCTTTCTTTCTTTCTTTCTTTCTTTCTTTCTTTCTTTCTTTCTTTCTTTCTTTCTTTCTCTTTTTCCTTTCTCTTTCTTTCTTTCTTTCTTTCTTTCTTTCCATATCTATCTATCTACCTACTTACCTACCTACCTACCTACCTACCTACGATCTATCTTATGTAATCTTGGTTAATCTTGCAAAATCCATGCATAGACTGACCTGACCTATGGTTTGGATGAGGTTCCATGCCCTCACCAGCTGTTGAACTTCATTCGAAGAATCTTTAGAATAAAAATAAAATAAAATAAAAGCTAGCTTCCTTCATTCTGTTACAGCTCAACCCTCTGTTCCTCAACCTCAGCGTGCGACTCCCGGAATCTCCTGGGCAGCCACTAAGCGACCGGTCATAAGTCAAGGACTACCTACTTGTAAATCCAGCCCTTGGGTCGCCCTCCCAGGCCGGCTGTGGGGCAGCTCTGCTCACCCCCTCATGCAGGTATTTCTGCTCTGTCCCCAGGGATGTGTCCAGCAGCAGGAATTCACCTCCCTGGAGGAGAAGCCCCAGTTCCCGGGAGCTTCGGCTGTCTTCATCGACAGGCTGGAATTCATCCAGCCCAACGTCATTTCTGGGATCCCCATCTACCGGGTCATGGACCGGCAGGGGCAGATCGTCAACCCCAGTGAGGACCCCCAGGTGAGTTCTAGGCTCCGCCTCCCTCTTACCTGCTCCCCCAAAACAAAGACCCATCTTTCACTTTCCGCCCTGTCTTGGCTCCGTCTGCAGATTTCCCAAGAGGAGGTGCTGAAGTTCTACAAGAGCATGACGCTTCTCAACACCATGGATCGAATCCTGTACGAGTCCCAGAGACAGGTAGGAGGATGGCAGGAAGGGGGGGGGGAGGCAGGACAGGTGATCTCCAGGTGGCCACTTCTGCCAACTCCATTGGGTGCCCGTTTGTTTCCGGGTCCAATTCAAAGTGTTGGCTGTCCCCTAGAAAGCCTTACCTGACATGGAACCAGTCTACCTAAGGGACCGGCTTCGGCCCATGACATCAGCCTATCCTACCCAGTTAGGCAGGGAAAGCATGTTACAGACCCCCATCTGTTAAAGAACTCCGACTGCCGGGTCTCGGAAGAGAGCTTTCTCTGCCCTTGTCCCCACCCACCCTGTGGAATATTCTCCCCCCCCCCGAGGTAAGGCAGGCCCCCCACCCTCCTGGTCTCCTGAAGTGGAACCAAAATATGGCAATAGCAACAGTCCTTAGAGTTACATACCACTTAAAAGGGCTTTACAGCCCTCTCTAAGTGGTTTACAGAGTCAGCATGTTGCCCCTCCCCCCCCAAAAATCTGGGTCCTCATTTTTACCGACCTCGGTAAAATGGAAGGCTGAGTCCAATCTTGAGCCGGTCAGGATTGAACTCCTGGCAAAGAATAGAATAGAATAGAATAGAATAGAATAGAATAGAATAGAATAGAATAGAATAGAATAGAATAGAATAGAATAGAATAGAATAATGGAATGTAGAATAGAATAGAATAGAATAGAATAGAATAGAATAGAATAGAATAGAATAGAATAGAATAGAATAGAATAATGGAATGAAGTAGGAGAAGAGAAGAGAAGAGAATAATGGAATGAAATAGAAGAATAGAATAGAATAGAATAGAATAGAATAGAATAGAATAGAATAGAATAGAATAGAATAGAATAGAATAGAATAATGGAATGAAGTAGAAGAATAGAAGAGAAGAGAAGAGAAGAAAAGAAGAGAATAATGGAATGAAATAGAAGAATAGAATAGAATAGAATAGAATAATGGAATGAAGTAGAGGAATAAAATAGAATAGAATAGAACAGAACAGGAAACAGCTGTTTTCAAGCAACTGCCAATCAAACACGTGCTACTCATGTATCCCTTTGGACTTCAAAGCATCTTTTAGTCTTCAGATCTGAAGCTCTGGCAAGGATTCACAGCCCCACCCCCCACCCCACTTTTTTATTGCCAGGGACGGATTTCCTTTTATATGACCAACTACGGAGAAGAAGGCACCCACGTGGGCAGCGTAGCAGCCCTGGATGACACTGACCTGGTCTTTGGACAATACCGAGAAGCAGGTGACCCTTTGCAAAGCACTTTTTTTTCCTTCTTCAGCCATAGTCGCAAAACAGCCACCAGGGGGCAGCATTTCACAGCAGAGGACTAGAACCTTGGCATGGCTTTCATCTGAGACCTGCTGTAGGACGATATTTCCACCTTTTGCTTGTTTCACTTTGTTTGTTTCTGTCCTGCCTTTATTATATTTACAAATAATCCAAGGCAACAAATGTATCCCACTGACCTTCCTTCTCCTGTTTTCCCCACAACAACAGCCCTGTGAGGTGGGTTGGGCTGAGTTAGTGGGACGGGCTCAAAGTCACCCAGCTTGCTTTCATGGCTAAGGCGGGACTAGAACTCCCTGTCTCCTGGGGTTTGGCCCACGGTCGCCCCAGCAGTTTTTATGCCTAAAGTGGGAGTAGGACTCACGTCTCATTTTTCTAGCCTATTGCTTTAACTACTGGACCCAACTGTCCAAACCTGACCTTACTTGTCTTGTATTTTGAGCCTAGAGATATGCAGCGCTTGGATTTGAAGCCTACAAGGTGTTTGGGGAGCAGGTTTGAGTGTGTACGTTGTACCAGTTGGCACCTCTTTAAAGCAGCCGCGTTCCCCCCCCCCTCTGCATAATAAATAGGCTTTATGAGCCCAGGACCAAATGTGTTTGAGTTAATCAGTGCCTAAGGACCTCATCTCTGTCATTGACAGGCCTTGCTTGTTTTGAAGGAAGGAGGCACCAGTAACACACAGACCAAGCACGGTGGCGTGGCCTCCTTTTGGCAACTTCTGAACCCAGATATGTTTTTCTGGAATGCAGCAACTTCGTTTAGGAGGGGAAAATGCACCCTCTTTACGGAAGCACCAACAGGACGAGATTGTTGATTACAGGCAATCGAAAGGGGAAAGAGATTAGCCAGGCAGTTGCTTTGGATAGGCTGTAGAGGTTTTTTTTTTAGTTTCTAATAAGGGGAATTGCAGTAAATGTGGTGTCTCTATGGTGTTCAGAGTCAATAGCAACTGGGAAGGGGGAGAAAGAAAAAGAAAGAAAGAAAGAAAGAAAGAAAGAAAGAAAGAAAGAAAGAAAGAAAGAAAGAAGGAAGGAAGGAAGGAAGGAAGGAAGGAAGGAAGGAAGGAAGGAGAGAGCGAAAGAAAGGAAGGAAGGAAGGAAGGAAGGAAGGAAGGAAGGAAGGAAGGAAGGAAGGAAAGAAGGAAGGAAGAAGAGAGAGAAAGAAAGAAAAGAGAGGACGGAAGAAAGGAAGGAAGGAAGGGAGAGAAAGGAAGGAAGGGAAGAAAGAAGGAGGGAGGCAGGGGAGGGAGAGAGTAAGGGAGAGAGAGAGAGAGAAAGAAAGAAAGAAAGAAAGAAAGAAAGAAAGAGAAGGATGGGAGGTAAGGAAGTTTGAGGGAGGGAGGAGGGAAAGAAGGAAGGTGACAGGAAGAAAGGAAGGAAGGAGAACAAGAATAGGGAGACAGGGACGAAGGGACGGAGGAAGGAAGGAAGGAAAACAAGAACAGACAGGGAGGAAGAAAGGAAGGAAGGGGGAGGGAGGGAGGAACAAATAAATCCCAGCTTATTGCTATTATTTGGGGATTTTGTCTCATATACATCTTTGATTACCTTCACCCCCCCCCCTACACACAAACAAGTGGAGCCCAGCACCTGGGGCAGGGTCGAGGGCCAGCCTCGTGCCCGAAGCCAGCCAAAGCCTCTCACCTGCTCTCCCTCCCTCCCTCCCAGGTGTCCTGATGCACAGGGGCTACCCTCTGGACATGTTTATGGCCCAGTGCTACGGCAACGCCAGCGACCCCGGCAAAGGCCGGCAAATGCCCGTGCATTACGGCTGCAAAGATTTGAACTTTGTCACCATATCGTCCCCGCTTGCCACCCAGATCCCACAAGGTGAGGCCACCTCAAGTTTTTCCCTCTCGAGACCCCCGCAGACCCCCACCCATGGAGCAATGCCCACCAAGGCATGCTCTCTTGCATTTTGGGACACCCTTGCCCCCTCCCCAGGATCTAACCGCCCGACCCCCCCTCTTCTTCCCTTGCCAGCGGTGGGGGCCGCCTACGCCTTCAAGCGGGCGAACACCAACCGGGTTGTCATCTGCTACTTCGGCGAAGGGACCTCCAGTGAGGGGGATGCCCACGCGGGCTTCAACTTCGCTGCCACCCTGGAGTGTCCGGTCATATTTTTCTGCCGGAACAACGGCTACGCCATCTCCACTCCAACGTCCGAACAATACCGGGGCGACGGCATCGGTGAGACGGCCTGGTTGGGGAGGGAGGGACTTCTTCGTGAGGTTTGTGTGTACACAGGTAATCAGGGGTAGGCAACCTTGGCTCTTTTATGACTGGTGGACTTCAACTCCCAGAATTCCTGAGCCAGCCATGCTGAGGGGAAAGGGAGAGGTTTCTATGCTGAGCCAGGCTGGCTCAGGAATTCTGGGAGTTGAAGTCCACGAGTCATAAAAGAGCCAAGGTGGCCTACCCCTGTCCTAGACTTACAACAGTTCATTTAGTGACTGTTCAAAGGCACTGAAAAATGCGACTTATGACCATTTTTCACAGATACGACCTTTGCAGCATCCCCATAATCGTGATCAAAATTCAGGCGCTTGGCAACTGACTCGTATTTATGACGGTCACAGCATCTCTGGGTTACGTGACCCCCTTTTGTGACCTTCCAACAAGCAAAATCAATGGGGCAAGCCAGATTCGCTTAACGACCGCAGCAAGAAAAATGAGGCAAAACTCACTTTAGAAATGTCTCACTTAACAACAGAAATGTTGGGCTCAATTGTGGTTGTAAGTCGAAGCTGGTCCTTGACTTACAACCATTCGTTTAGCAACCGTTTGAAGTTACGGCACTAGTCCTCACACGACCATCGCAATATTATCCACCGTCATTTGATCCAAATTTAGGTGCTGGGCAAATTGGCCTGTATTTACGACGGTTGCAGCATCCCAGGATCGTGTGGTCGCCATTTGTGACTTCCCAGTCGGCTTCTGACCAGCAAAATCAACGGGGAATTTGTTTAACGACTGCATAATTCACTGCTGTTGTTAAGTGAATTTGCTCAGCAACCATGGCAAAAATGGTCATAAAATTAGGCACAGGCTCGGCTAATAATTATCTTGCTGAGCAACAGAAATTAAGTCCCTTTTTCAGCTTTGAACGGTCACTAAACAAATCGTTGTAAGTCAAGGATGACCTGTGGGTTCTTGTTTTAGAAGCCGTTCTGCCAAACTGGCTGAATTCTGAATCCGGAAGCCTTCTTGAATCTAGATGCTAAACTGAATTTAAATTTAAAATTTTAAACTTTAAAAAAACGAGCAGAAGAGGGTCTGGAAAGACAGTCCAAGCGTAGTGACGGGTCTTCTTGCACCCCTCAGCCGCCCGGGGTCCCGGTTATGGCATCCAGTCTATCCGAGTGGACGGCAACGACGTCTTTGCCGTGTACAACGCCACCAAGGAGGCCCGGCGCCGGGCCATTGCCGAGAACCAGCCCTTCCTCATCGAGGCTATGACCTACAGGTAGGTTTGGAGGTGCAAGGTGGACCTGAGGTCAGACCAGGGTGTGTGTGTGTGCAGGGGTCCGGCTGAAACCTAGTTTGCCCCAACCACCTGCCCTGGTTTTTTTCCCAGGATCGGGCACCACAGCACGAGTGACGACAGCTCGGCCTACCGCTCTGTCGATGAGGTCAATTACTGGGACAAACAGGACCACCCCATCTCACGTCTCCGCCACTACATGGTGAGCCGGAACTGGTGGGATGAGGAGCAGGAGAAGAGCTGGCGGAAGAAGTCGCGCAAACGGGTCAGTGGCCGAGCTGAGAGACACACACACACACGCCCCGCCTCGGTGCCAGTATGGCAGAGGGCGAGCATTTGTATTTCCCAAAGCCTCAAAGAGAATCTCCCTCTTGGGGACAATGCTGAGAAACTGGGACCGTTGGGAAGGGCCGAACCAAGAGGGCTATGGGGGTACGTAGGCCTGCGTGAACGCACAAAACATAAATTATATTTAAAAAATAACAATTAATTAAAATAAAAGCAACCCACGCGGGCCGGACAGGGGTGGATGTGGCCTGGGGGGGGATGTGGATGTAAAATGCTCAAGTCTGCTGTAGGGGACGTTTTTCTCAACCGTGGCCATTTTAAGATGCGTGGACTTCAATTCCCAGAATCCCTCGGCCAGCCAGTTTCCGAGCCGCTCCAGGTACCGCTCTTGATTTAACAACCGTTCGTTTAATGACCGTTCAAAGTTAGAGCAGCCCTGAAAAATGGGAGTGATGACCATTTTTGACACGATGACCGTGGCGGCATCCCCGTGGATCACGGGATCAAAATTCGGGCGCTTGGCCACGGACCCCTATTGATGACAATCTCAGCGTCCCGGAGTCGCGCGACTCCCTTTTGCGACCGTCTTGACGAGCAAAATCAATGGGGAAGCTGCATTCCCTTAACTAATTTCACAACCGCAGCAATTCCTTTAACAAATAGTGTCCAAGACAATTTCCCGATAGTGGGAACGATTGATGGATGGAACGGCTCGTCTTCAAAAGTGGCAGGTGCTCCCAAAATGGGAAGGCCTTAAGGAGACACTGGATAATCCAATGGTGGTGGTAGATTTCCTGCTTTGGCAGGGGAGGGTTGGTCTAGAAGACCTCCAAGGTCCCTTCCAATTCTGTTTATTCTGCTTCAGTGTCGTGTTCCCCCCTCTTTCTCCAGGTGATGGAGGCGCTGGAAGAGGCTGAGCGGAAGCTGAAGCCGAAACCTCAGCTCCTGTTCTCGGACGTTTACAGTGAGATGCCCTGGCACATCGCCAAACAGCAGACAGCCTTAGAACGTCATCTGAAACAGTATGGAGATCACTACCCACTGGATCACTACGAGAAGTGAATCCCGGCCTCGCCCGATCCCTCCTCACGTCCGCCTTTCCCCACCCTGAGGGCTGGTGCCCCCCTCCAGGGTGCCAGGCTGGCTTGCAGGCATCTCCGGCACCACCCCAGGTCATCCACAAATCTCTCTTCTTTTGTACTTGGGATGCCCATCTGGCCTTCCATCCATCCCTCCTTCATCTTTGCTTCTGGCCAGAGAACCTCTGGGTCCTGCCTAGATTTTTATTTTTATTTTATTTTTTACAAAAGGGCTGCTTTGCTTTTTTGTCGCTTCCAGCTCAGTTGCCTTTCATAGTTTTTTTTTTTTTTTTTAAAGGCCAGCCCAAAAGAAGAGAGAGCTTCCCCCCGCCACCCAACGGGGCTTGGTCAGCCTGTGGCAAGAGACTGAAGTGGGGATTGGGGACCCCACTTCCTGGGAGAGTTCAAAGGAGGTTTAATGCCTTGCTAGGTACATTTCTGTAAATGCCTGGGGCCCGGTGGATTCTCTCTTGACTATCACGAGCTAACACGGTCAAGCATTTAATTTAGAACTGGGGTTCCTTTTGGCCTGCTTTTGATATTTGAAGATTTCGCCTTCAATTTGGTTTCTGGATCAAGTGACACTTCCTCTCCGTTTGCCCTTCTAGGTTCTTGGAAAATATTGCTCTGGGCTTGCACTGTTTGGGGTCAAATGCACAGTTGGATATTAGGGCCCTGCCTGGCACCCCGTTTCTTGAGCAACATATTCACCTTTTATGATTCACACAGGCCCTCGTCACCCTAGCCGTCAATTTTTAATTGTCCCTCCAACTTTCCAAATCTATCTTCATGGGCCTTTAAGAAAAAATCACTTTCCCCCAGTTTGTAAAGCCAAGGGGGGCTTCTTCCTTGTAGCTACTCCTTGTAGCAAGAGTCAGAGGGTCTAACAGCAGTAGTAGTTGTGGGTAGGGGTTTTTACAGGAGGGGGGGTGGTGAAGACCGAGCCTCAAAAAGCGACATTCAAAGGATTTAGGAGCCTCACTAGAGTTATTATTATTATTATTATTGCACAAAAAGGTGGAAAAGCTGCCAATAAGCTTCCTCAAAAGCACAGAACTATCTCCCAGCTTTCCTAGGTTTTTAACGCGTTCACCTTCCTTGCTCTCCAGGCCGAATTCAACAAGCCAATCCATGTCACCTTAGCATCCTGCTGTGGCAGGGTTTAAATTTGTCAGATTGCTGTCTGGAGGGAAACATTTCTTTAGGAAAAATCCGTAGACGGGGCTGAAGGCTTGAAGTGAGGTGCCCCTACCCCCCCCTCCCGTGTTTTCCAAGAAGCCCACCGTGGAAAGAAGACGTGACAAATTATTTCTTTGCCGAGCATGGAGATTCAGCAGCCTCGAATGTGGCGCCAGCTGATTTATCCAAACACTACAAGGGGCGTCATTCCTAGAAAACGGTTGCCAAGGATTAATGTCTATGGATTTTCTTTGGAAGGGAAATGACTTTGAGCAAGAGGGAAGGCGGGCAAATTGTGCACAGGGTGGGGACAATACGTTTGGGGACGTGAGAACGAGAAACAGGGATCCGTGTTCGAACGTCTCTTTGGGGATGTTTGGTGCATTTTTTTTTCCCCCAGCACCTTCCTAAGTGGAATTCAAGCTGTTCTGTTGGTCTTACTCCAAAGCTGTTACAACTGAAAATAACGATCATTGTGGGGGGTTAAGGGAAGAATGGGTTGATGCCAGCCCATCTAATCGCACATATGGGGCAAGTTGGGAAATCAATAAATATTTTTCTGGCCAACGGCGCTTTTGTGTGAATACCTGTTGAGGGGCACCATCTGCCCCGCGACGTAGCAGAATGTTCTTCCCCAGCATGTGGCGTGCCTGTGTGTCTGTGTGTGTTGGCATAGTTTTCCTGGCTGCCTCCTTGCAAAAAAAAAAAAAAATCACAGCTTTTACTAAAGATGCTCTGGGGGAAATATAGGTCGTCCTCAACTTACAACGGTTCATTCAGGGACCGTTCAAAGTTACAATGGGCACTGAGAAAACGGACCCTGTTTCATACTTGGGAACCACTGCAGCATCTCCATGGTCGCGCGATCAAAACTGAGATGCTTGGCAACTGACTTGTACTTAACGACAGTTGCCGGGTCCCAGGGTCACGTGATCCCCTTTTGCGAGCTTCCCTGCTACTAACTTAACACTTGCCTTGATTCACTTAACACCTGGGGCAAGACAAGTCGTAAAAGGAGGCGAAGCTCGCTGAACCAATGTCTCACTTAGCAACGTAAATTTGGTGGTCATATGTTGAGGACTACCTGGAGACGGCTGCTTTCAAAAGATTCAAGCCCAAGGTTCCCCCAAAACACCTGTCCCCAAATCGCCAATGAACGCTTCCCAAGATTGACAGTACCCAAGTCATGTTTTTATTACAGCAGGACATTGTTGCAGTGTGAGCAGGAGAGGTTGGGGTATCCATCCCCCCCTCCCCATTTTGTCAGGTCAAAACAAACAAGCCCTCTTTAAACCATCAGCAATCGCACTTAGATTTATATACCGCTTCACAGTGCTTTTACAGCCCTCTCTAAGTGGTTTACAGTCTCAGCCTATTGCCCTCCTAGCACTCTGAGTCCTCATTTTACCTGGATGAAAGGCTGAGTCAACCCTGAGCCGGCCAGGATCGAACTGCTGGCAGTGGGCAGAATTACCCTGCAATGCTGCCTTCTACCCACTGGGCCAGCCCGGCTCTCTATTATCACTGCTGATGATAATTCCAGAGGATCCTATTTCCACTTTTCTTCCACACTCCATCGTTATTGAGGATCAGTTTCTTGCCTCGGTTTCTTGGTTAATCCAGCTGTGGGAGGGGATTGGCCCCAAAGGTTCGGGCCACAACGGAAAAAAATTAAACACTTGCGGACAATACTTCACCCTCTCTGCAATCCAGGAAGATTGAGCCAGCTAGCCAGGAGTTTCTCTTCCAGGCTCCCCCAAGTTGGTGGTGCCAGATGTGGAGGAAGGTGCCTCCAGCTGTTGCAGGCCTATTTGAAGGGTACCAAATGGGGGGAAGCAATCCTGGAGCTCTGGCATCCTCAGGTAAGGCCAAGTGGATGCTGGGACAGTTTTCCGATCGGCCTGGTGGAAAAATAAGGATGGTTCTTAAATCTGTAAATGGCATCTCCTGGACTGTTGGTATGAACAAGTCCAGTGTTCGGCCTTCCACCGGACTATCTGCAGAAAGGAATTTAAGAAGAGGCCGTTCAGAAAGGGGGGGGGCGTCCCCAGCTCCTGGCCTTCAAAAGTGCACTACGTTGGGATGTCCCCTCTGAAATACTCCGATGGGATTTGGAGCTGAGCACCTCCCCGTTGCAGCCCAGAGGACACAAGAGTTCCACGCGATCCGTTTCCTATTCGATCAGAAGCCAGGAGGCTTCGCGGGCTGGGGGTTCAACGCCTCATCTCCACATTGGAGATCTGGATTGGTGATTTGCTTCCAGAGATGGAGGGTCTGCTGGGGGCTGCGCCGATGGACCAGGAGCAGCTGGCTGTGCACGCAGGGGTCTCTCCGGTCTTTCTCGGCGATATCAAAGGTCATGAAGCCAGCGTGGGGCTGAGGGGGGATGCCCAGAGCTTGGAAGCAGAGCCCCGTGTAAACGTCGTCAATGGGGTAGAAAGCCACGTGCTGAGAGATGAGGAGGAGCAACCGGACTAGGGGTCCGGAGATGATGTAGCCCCCACCTCCCGCGTAAGCTGGATACGGTCCCACATAAAATGATTCTGGCACATAGTACTTATTTCGTTGGTCCCGGAAGGGCGAGGCGTTGGACATCACCTGCCCCGTGTAGAGGGGCTTGTTGGCGTCCACCGAGCTCAGATACCCCAAGACTTTCGGGGTGTTGATGAACACGTCATCGTCCCCCTTGAGAATGAAACGGACGTCCCGACAATACTCCAGCGTCCAGCGCAGGAAGAGGGAGTCCTTCAGGGTCAGGTTGAAGAAGGTGTCCTCAAAATCCCACATCAGGATGTCCCCAAATGTCCGACTCTCAAACTGGACCAGGTGTTGCAGGCGGGGACCGAACTGCCCCTGAGCCGTGCCCAGTAAGAAGACGGTGCGGACAGCCAGCCCACCGGGTTTTCCTTCCTGTCCCCAAGTGTCCCGCACGGCTTGGCGGGCCGCAAAATTGCCCGGCACGGATTTGATGGCCAAGAGCAGGAAGGTGCCGTTCTTTGTATCGGCACACTTATGGAGTTCGTTAATCAGGAGGGAATAGTTCCTGCAATCCCCGTAGAGAATAAAATTCTTATACAGCTCCGGATACGAGTTGAAATGCTTGATCTTGGTGGCCAGTTCCTTCATGTCACCGTTGGGGCATTTATTCCAGGAAGCGTTGGCCACCGAGCCTTCTTCCAACGCCCGGAAATTTTTGTATTGTTTATCGTTCCAGTACGCCTTTCCTCGCGGGATGCTGTGGCGGAATTGTTGCAAGGAGACGTTAAAGCGCTGGAAGACAAATGCCGGCGAGACGTTCTCGAAGGGCAGGATAGGGGTGATGGAGCCGCTGTGCCAACGGGCGGCGGGGGATGTGGGGTATCGTTCTTCCTGCTCAGCCGTCCATTCGATGTAGGCCTTGAGAGCCACCAGAGTGAGCAACGCCGTGGCGATCGAGAGACACCGGGAAATAGTCATTTTTCTCTTCCTGGTGTGGAAAACAGCCAAAATAGAAAGAGAGAAGAAAGGCAGATAATGAAATTTGTGTTAAATGTCTATGGAGATTGTCAGTCCTCCCAGTCCTGGTTGTCCCAAAGGTGCTTTTTTTCAGGAAGCAATTGGACTTTCTTGTTTTTCTTTGAAGACGTTTCGCTTCTCCTCCAAGAAGCTTCTTCAAGTTCTGACTGGAGGGTGGGAGATGGAAGGATTTATACTCCTTGCAGACAGCTGGTCGTTTCCATTCAACGACTCTGTAAAAGAAGGCAAATGACCAGCTGTCTGCAAGGAGTATAAATCCTTCCATTCCCCACCCTCCAGTCAGAACTTGAAGAAGCTTCTTGGATGAGAAGCAAAACCTCTTCAAAGAAAAATAAGAAAGTCCAGTTGCTTCCTGAAAGAGCACTTTTGGGAAATTTGTGTTACTACTACAAACTGAGTTCACTGGCTAACTATAAACCAGGGTAATAATAATAATAATAAAAAAAAATAATAATGAGGAGGAGGAGGAGGAGGAGGAGGAGGAAAGAAGAAGAAGAAGAAGAAGAAGAAGAAGAAGAAGAAGAAGAAGAAGAAGAAGAAGAAGAAGAAGAAGAAGAAGAAGAAGAAGAAGAAGAAGAAGAAGAAGAAGAAGAAGAAGAAGAAGAAGAAGAAGAAGAAGAAGAAGAAGAAGAAGAAGAAGAAGAAGAAGAAGAAGAAGAAGACAACGACTCTGGATAGTGGATGTGGCAGTGCCTGGAGACAGTAGAATAGACGAGAAAGAACTGGAGAAGATAACAAAATACAAAGACCAACAAATAGAAATAGAAAGACTGTGCCAAAAGCAAGCAAGAGTGGTACCAATAGTAATAGACGCCTTGGGTGCAATCCCAAAACAACTGGAGCACTACTTGAACACCGTTGGCATTGCCAAATTCGCCATTAGTCAATTGCAAAAGGCGGCCTTACTAGGAACCGCTTCCATCCTGCGACGATATCTGTAATACCATCAATCATCCACATCTGCCTATCCCAGGTCCTTGGGAAGGACTTGATAGGTAGACAAAAATGCCAAATCCAGTCTGAACATCTCGCTGACTGTGCAATGATCAATAATAATAATAAAAAGTTGTAAGGGACCTTGGAGGTCTTCTAGTCCAACCCCCTGCTCAGGCAGGAAACATACCATTTCAGACAAATGGTTATCCATTGTTCTGAATGGTTAATAATCTGCAATTGCAAGGTTCAGCTAAGAGGGCGTGGGAACCTGTAAACCTGTTGCTTGAAAATAAGCCAATCCTTCCCTGTCACTTTGAACCTACAGAGCTTATTATTATAGGCAAAGACTTTTTATTATTCAAGCTCTATATCTTTTACATCACAACGTTCTAAATAATTCTACTGTACAGGCTGGATGTCCTTGATTCATGGCCACAGTTGAGCCCATTTATGATCACAATCTATGCCTTCCTACTGTCTCTCTCCACCGAAACCCAATCAGCTGAAAGACTCAGGTGGGAATTAAGAAAGTTTGTTAAAGAAATTGCTGAGGGACCAAGTTGCAGCTGCAATGAGTTTGGGACACTACTGTCTTCTTCTTCTTCTTCTTCTTCTTCTTCTTCTTCTTCTTCTTCTTCTTCTTCTTCTTCTTCTTCTTCTTCTTCCTCTTCTTCCTCTTCTTCTTCTTCTTCTTCTTCTTCCTCTTCTTCTTCATCATCATCATCATTATTATTATTGATCATCGCACAGTCAGCCAGATGTTCAGACTGGATTTGGCATTTTTGTCTACCTATTGAGTCCTTCCCAAGGACCTGGGATAGGCAGATGTGGATGATTGATGGTATTACAGATATCGTCGCAGGATGGAAGCAGTTCCTAGTAAGGCCGCCTTTTGCAATTGACTAATGGCGAATTTGTCAATGCCAATTGTGTTCAAGTGGTGCTCCAGTTGTTTTGGGATTGCACCCAAGGGGCCTATGACTATTGGTACTACCCTTGCTTGCCTTTGCCACAGTCTTTCTATTTCTATTTGTAGGTCTTTGTATTTTGCTATCTTCTCCAGTTCTTTCTCGTCTATTTGGCTGTCTCCGGGCACTGCCACGTCCACTATCTAGACTTTTTTGTCGTCGTTATTATTATTATTATTATTATTATTATTATTATTATTATTGGTTTAAGAAGCCATTAGAAATATTCTTAATGCAAACATCTGCTTCAAATGCAGCTTTTTTTCCCCCCTTTCAGACAAGATCCGCTTTTCTCCAAACGTTCCCCACCCTGTCGTGGCCCTCAGCCTCTTGTGATTCGGTCTCGACTAGAGAGGACTTTGCATAAGCGAGAGAGAGAGAACCAGTTCTGGAGAAAACAATTAACTGGAATTGCATCCTCTTGCAACCGTGATTAGGCCATTAAGGTTTTCGTCTTTCTAATTCCAGGATAATGGCCTCCTACGTGCCAACAGGGCACTTTGCCTGGCATAGATTTTTAAAACTAGGCTTTCCTTAAAGGCAAAGGCATCTGGCAAATTATTCGCAATACGTTTGAAAGAGCAGATTTATAATACAGGCAGTCCTCGACTTAACAACAGTTCACGGCACTGGAACAAGCGACTTATGACCGTTTCCCACACTTATGACTCTTGCAGCATTCCCAGGGTCACGTGATCAAAATTCAGACGCTTGGCAACTGACTCACATTTATGACAGCATCCGAATGTAGATCGCATGATTTGCTGCAACGGTCATAAGTGTGAAAAATGGTCGTAAGTCGCTTGTTTTCAGGGCTGGGGTCCTTTGAAATGGCTCTTTCCCAAACTTCTTCCTTTTCTCAAATTTGGGGGGGGAAAAATCTCACCAGAAGCCAGAATGGGGTATTCAGTCTTTGCTCTTTTTTTTTTATTGAAAAGTTTTATAAAAATTACAGTATACGCCCCAAAACCCACCCACCCTAACCCCCCCTCTCCCTCCCCCACTTCCCAGAGCTGAGTACAGGGTTACAAATATAATAATCCAACTCTAACTAACATTAACCAACTATATAAATAACCAAGTCCATAATGCGCTTTAACTCCCCTTTAACATAGGTATAAACAAATTAAAAATAAACATAATAATATAAACAAGTCGATATTATTAAACAATACAATATCCAAATTGTTAACAATACTAATACTAAAAATAATAATAAAACTAATAAAAATTCTACTATAATAAACTATTAATAATAATAATACTCTAAAATTTACTCATAAACTAGATGGAACTTTTTAGTCCCATATTTATTCTGAATATAATCTATCCATCTTCTCCAGACCGAAATGTATCTTTCTTGTGAGTGATCCTTCAAGTAAGCAGAAATTTTCGCCATTTCTGTTAAATTTGACACTTTAAGCGTCCATTCTTCTATAGTAGGCAAACAATCCTTCTTCCAATATTGCCCTACCAATAACCTTGCAGCTGTTATCAAATTCAACATCAAGTTAATTTCTTTAACATCACAATCTACAATAACACCCAATAAAAATAATTGTGGAGTAAACTTTTATCTTTCTCCTAAAAATCTTTTGAATGTTCCACCAAATCTTAATCCAAAAAGCTTTTATATTTCTACAAGTCCACCAGATATGAAAATAAGTAGCATCCAAGCTACCACATCTCCAACATTTGGGCTGTAAGTTAGGATACATACAAGACAACTTTTTAGTAGTCTTTGCTCTCTTTGATTCCTACGCAAGGACCCAGCTAGACAAACATAACCGGAAAAATTGGTTTCTTCAGGGCACAGCCCTGTAGCTTTTAGGCAGGAACCTGCAGCTCAGTTCTCTCAGCTCACGAGAAGGAAATTACAGTAGTCCTCCTTTAGTGACCGCAGCTGGAACCAGCAACTTGGCCGTTAAGCGAAGCAGCCGCTAAATGAAACTGCCACTGCGCTCATGATCTTCCTTCGCCTTTATAGAGGGGCTTGTCAATCTCAGCCCCTGGAAGAGGGTGTGGACTTCAACTCCCAGAATTCCCCCGCCAGCCTCAATCTCAGCAACCTGGACAGGTGGCTGGGGAATTCTGGGAGTTGAAGTCCACAGCCTGTTCCAGGGGCTGAGATTGACGAACGCCCTTCCACAGACCTTCTTCATCACCACTGTCACTGAGATCCGTTGCTAAATGAGGCCATCACTCAACAAGGACAACTCGCTTTAATGCAAGCAGCCCATTTTCTTTTTAGCAACAATTTCAAATATTTACCCTAAAATGCAGCTCTCCGGCTGAGATACCCTTGGTAATCTCTCCAAAAAGAGAAGCAGACCAGCCTATCTGCAAAAGCCCTCCAGAGTCAGCCTCGGAGGCACACGGACAGCCCAGCTGCCAATTCTAAGTGCTGGCATCCGAGGAGATGCTACCAGGATGGTGGAGAACGAGCCCAGGAGAACAAGAGAGGCGTGGAGGACAAAACATCCTATCAGGAGAGCTTTTTTTGGGAAAGGAATGCGCCAGTGGGGGAAGTTTATGGCCAGCTGCTATCTGTCCTGGACATAAATAAAACAGCAGGTCAAGTTGAAAAGAACTTTGGAGCTGTCTGGAGAACAGTCAGAAGTCAGGTGATCTCTCCGTAATTGAGTCTGTTGGACTTTGGATAGAAGGGATGGATGGAAGGAAGGAAGGAAGGAAGCAGAACAACAACAGAGGGAGGGAGGGAAGGAAGGAAACAAGGAAGGAGAACAAGAACAGAGGCAGGGAGGAAGGAAAGGGAGAGAGGGAGGGAGGGAAGGAGGAAGGGAGGGAGGAAAGGAAGGAAGCAGAACAAGAACAGAGGCAGGGAGGAAGGAAAGGGAGGGAAGGAGGAAGGAAGGAAGGAAGGAAGGAAGGAAGGAAGGAAGGAAGGAAGGAAGGAAGGAAAAGAAGAACCGAGGCAGGGAGTAGAGAAAGGGAGGGAGGAAGGAAGGGAGGGAGGGAGGAAAGGAGGAGAACAAGAACCGAGGCAGGGAGGAAGGAGAGAGAGGGAGGGAGGGAAGGAAGGAAG